CATCCTACCTTGTGTGATCTTGGACCTGTTAACTTTTCTGCCTCAGGTTGCTTATCAGTGAAAATTCATGAGGAGCTTCAGTGTGCTGCCCTATGTCAGCTCCCTAGAATAGAGCCTTACATACAATAAACACAAATAGTTACTGCTATTGTTACTAATTTTTATCATCTAGTTCCCAATGTGGAATTATTAGGTGAAAAAAGGGAGTATATTTCTGATGTTGATGTATGCTGCTGAAATGGTCCTCATAGAGGTTACACAAATTCATATTCCCAATAGTGATGTAAGAAGAGAATACCTGTTCTCCACACTTGCTAAGAGTGTTCCAGCTTTTTTAGTCTGCCGAATGAAATCGTTACCGCAGTGAAATTTTAAGCCTCATTTCTTTTTTTTTTTTTATTTTTAAGATTTATTTTATTTATTTGAAAGAGTTGGAAAAAGAGGTAGAGAGAGAGAGAGAGAGGACTTCCATCTACTGGTTCATTCCCCAGATGTCCACAACAGCCAGAGCTGTGCTGTTCCAAAGCTAGGAGCCAGGAACTGCTGGGTCTTCCCAACAGGTGCAGGGGCCCACGCAACTTTCCCAGGCCATACCAGAGAGCTGGATGGATCCCAGGTGGAGCAGCCAGGGCTCAAACTGGGCTTTAACCCGCTATGCCACAGCACTGGGCCCTCATTTCTTTTTTAGTAAGGAAGCTAATATGGTTTTTCTGAGATCCTTGGATTTCTTTTAGTGTGAATTGCCTGTTCAATTTCTTTGCTCATTTTATTTGAAACCAGGATATTGAGTTTGTAGGAATACATGCCTCTTTATGTATTATAGGTAAAGTAGCTCTGTTTGTGATATGATTTGCACATATTCTAAAATATTTTTTGTCTATCTTTTCATTTATTTTTTGGTGGGATGAGTCCCTCAGACTTTTTTGTTTATCTACATAACTGATTTTTATCATTCTTTTCTGGCTTCTGGGTCCTGTGTCACACTTAGAAAGCCTTCCCCTAGCCAAGTTAATAATAACTCAAACAATTTCCCCATAGTTTATTTTATGGTTTTATTATTTTCCATTTAAATCATATATTCATTTAGAAATTATTATGGTGTAGTTTTGTGGTATAAATCCAAATTTAATTATAAAATTTATATTATAAAATCACTACCCAGTTGTCTTATTCATTGAATATTTTTTTCTGAAATGCTAAGATGACCACGTTATCATATACTTAATTATCTATATTTCTATTTCTAGGATAATTTTCAATTTCTACCTATGCATATATTTGTAATATTCTGTTTTATTTGTTGAGGTTTTGTGTTTTAATATCTGGCAGGATTAATTAATACTCACATGTAACTTCTTTTCAGATACCTCCTAGCTATTTTTGTTTGTTTTCACTCTGTGAACTTCAAAATCAGCTTGCTAATGAAAAAAAAAAAAAAGTTCTGTTAGTGTTTTGGAGGGACTTTGGTATTAAATTTGAAGGTTAACTTGAGGAGAACTGGAATCTTCAGGATGGTTTTCTTGCAGTCCGAGATTTTGATGCCTTTTCAGTCCTTTCAACCTTCTCGCATGTTCTCAGAATATATTAAAGTTATTATGTCTTTGAACTGATTGTTATCTGAGTTTCTGAAAACTATTCCTATTCATTTAATACCTATTTGATTTTCTTATTACTTGTAAGTTTTCAGTTGATCTTGGGTTTCTAGGTATAGGATCATGTCATAGTGATAATTTTGCCTACTTTCAAATATTTATACCTCATTCTCTTTAATCTCTTTTTTTTAACCTAATACTTGAAAGGCATTGAATAGTGGTGACAGACTTTCTTATCTTCTTATCTTAGACATATCTGATACAAATATTTGCATTGTTTCTTCATAAAGGAGCATCCTGGCTTGGGGGTTGAAATATATTCTATTTTGATTTTTAAGAATTTTAAGATGAAAATGGGTGTTGATTCTATCAAATACTTATCTAGCATGTATTAAGATGATCATATAATTATATTCTTTTTTTTAATTTATTTATTTTTTGAAGGGCAGAGTTATAGAGAGTCAGGCAGAGAAAGAGAGAGAGGGATCTTCCATCCGCTGATTCATTCCCCAGATGGCTGCAACAGCCAGAGCTGGGCCAATCTGAAGCCAGTAGCCAGGAGCTTTTTTTGGTTCTCCCACATAGGTGCAGGGGTCCAAGGACTTGTGCCATCTTCTACTGCTTTCCCAGGCCATAACAGAGAGCTGGATCGGAAGTGGAACAGCCGGGATTCAAATCAGCACTCATATGGGATGCCAGCACTGCAGGCAGCAGCTTTACCTACTACTCCAAATGCTGGCCCCATAATTGTATTCTTTGGATAGCATAATTATATCTGTAAATATGTGAATATTGAAATACTCTTCAATTCCTAGTGTGAACCTTCCTTTTTTTTTTTTTTTTTTTTGATATGTCAGATTTACCTTGATATTCATAAATGAACCTATTCCAATGTTGTTATTCTGGACAGTTCTTACTGGATTTTGGTGTCAATATTATGTTTGCATAATTTAAATGACTATGGAAGTTTTTCTTTATAGTTTAGAACAATGTAAATTACACTGAAATTATCCATACTTCTCAAGTTTGGTAAAACTTTCTAATGGAACCATCCAAGCATGATAATAATTTTGAACAGTATCTCTTCAACAACTCCAGTTGGTTTCTTTGTTCTGTTGGTTGGTTGGTTGGTTTTTTGATCTCGATTTGAGCCAAGTAGTGATTGTCTATTACTCTACTAGTATTTAAGACAGTCACTTTTCCTCTGAAAAGTGCTTATGCTGTATCCTATGCCTGGGATGTGCTGTATTTTTATGATCATTTGATATGCATTCTTCAATTTCAATTTCCTGTCTCAGAAGTTTGAAAAGTTTAATTTCTGAATTTTAGGTACTTTATGTTTTTTAAATAGATTCATTTTATTTATTTATTTGTAAAGAAGAGTTACAGAGAGAGAGAAGGAGAGAAAGAGGGAGAATATCATCCATCTAGGGTTTACTCCCCAATTGGCTACAAGGATCAGGGCTGGGCCAAACCAAAGCCAGCAGCCAGGAGCTTCTTCTGGGTCTCCCAAGCACCTGGGCCATCTGCTGCTTTTCCCAGACAGATTAGCAGGGAGCTGAATCATAAGTGGAGCAGCCAGGACTTTGAACCAGCACCCATATGAGATGCCAGCATCGTAGGTGGTGTCTTCACCCATTATGCTAAAACACTGACCCTACTGCTTTATTTTTCTGACTTTTACTAATAAAGTTCTAATTTTAAGGCATCATGATATAATTTTATCTATTAGTTCAAATTTTTGAAATTTAGTGATTTTTTATGGTCTTAACAGCCTGTCAGTTTTTGTGAATGTTTTATTAGAGAAAATGGAAGAAGAAATTATCTCAGTTTTCAGAGGGCAGAATTCAATCTGTATATTTATCAGTTGTAGCTTCAGACTCGAGCCAGACCAGTGGGAACTAAATCCTAGATTTGCTATTGTGATCTTATGCAAATTATTTAACTTCTCTATGCCTCAGTTTCCTCATCTTGAAAAATGGCTATAATAATAATGTCTACCTCTTGTACTTATTGCTAGGATTAAATTGGTTCTTGTGTGAAAAAAACATTTAGAACAATGTCTAGAATGAGATAAACATGTATGTGTTAATTGTTATAATTATTTATGTCTACCTTATTAATTATTTAGTCCTTCTAGAATAGCACCATGGCCGAATTAAAATGTAATACAAGCCACAAATGTGTTTTTAAGTTAAAGGTAGCCATGTTAAGAAAAAATTTTTAAAAGATAAAATTTTATTTAACCCATTATATAAAAATTTTATTGCAACACATAATCAATGCAAAAAGATGATTAATGACATTTACCTTCTTTTGTACTAAGTCTGAGATTTGGCATATCTTGTATGTATGCCATATGTCAATTTGGACTAGCCATGTTTCAATTGCTCAATAGTCACATGGAGCCAGTGACTACTATATTGGATGGCACAGGACTAGCACCTTAACTGTGTACTTGGTACTTGGTTATTTCATGAGTGAGGGAATCTATTTATCCTTGAATCACCCATATTTTATGTGCTGTGAATGATAATGCTCTGTAATTCGGTACAAAGATACTCATGGTTATGTTTTCATTGTGAACTGTGTCCTTTAGCATTAAAATGGACCTGCCTTTGACTCTTAAATTTATGCCTTTTGCCTTGAATTTAACTTTATGTGATACTGTGTTTATTACCAATGTTTTCTTTTGTTTCATTTGCCTGGAATAATTTTCCCCATTTTTAGATTTTTCAAGCAGCTGAATTACTTTATGGTAGGTCTCTTGTAGAAGCACAGAATCGGGTTTTTCTTTGTTATCAACTGTGAACATTCTTTTAAATTGATTTAACCTGTGTGTGTGTGTGTGTGCATGTGTGTGTGTTATAATTATTCTTATTTCAGAGAGAGAGCTGCCATCTGCTAGCCCCACTCCTCAAATGCTTGCAATGGCCAGGACTGGGCCACGCTGAAGCAAGGAACCAGTAAATGAATCCAGGTTTCTCATGTGGGTGGGTGGCAGAAATCCAATTACTTGAGCCATCACTGTGCCTCCCAGGATCTGCATTAGCAGGAAGCTAATAATCAGGAGTCAGAGCCAGGTATAAACCCAGATAATCCCATAGGAGACACAGATGTCTTAACTGGCACCTCAACTATTAAGCCAATTCCTGCTTGCTCCTCTCCCTAACTTATCTATCTATCTATAAAGATTTATTTATTTATTTGAAAGGCAGAGTTACAGAGAGGAAGAGGTAGAAGCAGTATCCATTGGTTCATTCCCCATATGGCTGCAATAGTGAGAGCTGAGCTGCTCCAAACCCAGGAGCCAGGAGCTTCTTCCAGGTCTCCCATGTGGGTGTAGGGGCCCAAAGATTTGGGCCTTTTTTTTTTTTTTTTTTTTTTTTTTTGACAGGCAGAGTGGATAGTGAGAGAGAGAGAGAGAGAGAAAGGTCTTCCTTTTGCCGTTGGTTCACCCTCCAGTGGCCACCACGGCTGGCGCGCTGTGGCCGGCGCATCACGCTAATCCGAAGGCAGGAGCCAGGTGCTTCTCCTGGTCTCCCATGGGGTGCAGGGCCCAAGCACTTGGGCCATCCTCCACTGCCTTCCCGGGCCACAGCAGAAAGCTGGCCTGAAAGAGGGGCAACCGGGACAGAATCTGGCGCCCCGACCGGGACTAGAACCCGGTGTGCCGGCACCGCTAGGTGGAGGATTAGCCTATTGAGCCAAGGCGCAGGCTGGGCCATCTTCTACTGCTTTTCCAGGCTATAGCAGAGAGCTGGATTGGGAGTGGAGCAGCCAGGACTCAAACTGGCGCCCACATGAGATGCCAGCACTGTAGGTGGCTAGGCCACAGTGCCAGCCCCTCTCTGTATATTTATATGACTGATACGTTTGAACTTAGTATTTGTTCACTTTCATATAGGCTCTCTTTTCTTCAGTTTTTATATTTATTTTGGGAAGATTTAGAGTTGTACTACAAGCTTTTCATTTATAACTGTAGAAGTACCTTCACTTTATATTTCTTTTGATAGAAATACTAAATTATTCAAAACCTGGACAGGAGGCACAATGACTGCATATCCTTTGAGTGTCATTCTGGAGCAGTCTCTAGTAGGCCTACCTATTACCTTTCTTGAGCAGTTATTCTCCTGTGTGGTACCTAACAGCATCAGCGCAAACATTGCTTAAGAACTGAGAAATTCAGGTTCTCACATCCAACTCAGACCAACAGAAACAGCAACTCTGAGGATGGCCTCACCAATATGTTTTTTAACAAACCTCTAGGTAACTCTGCCAGCATTTTTTGCCGGTTTTAACACCTTGGGAACTCTTGGAAATGTTTAGACATTTTTGGTTATGCCAACTTGAGCAAGGAGAAGTGCTACTGGTATCTAGTGAGCGGAGAACAAGGATACTGCACCCTACAATGCATAGGATAGCCTCCCACCCCACCACACACACACACACACACACACACACACTTGCCAACAAAGAGTTATCTGGCCCCAAATATGAATAGTACAGAGGTTAAGAAACCTTCCTGTAAGGAATATTTTAAATATTTATTTATTTTGTTTATTTAAAAGGCAGAGATCTCTCATCCTCTGGTTCATTCCTCAATGCCCACAAAAGCCAGGGCTGGGCCAGGCCAAAGCCAGGAGCCAGGAACTCAATCTGGGTCCTCCATGAAGGTTTTAGGGACCCAAGAAGCTGAGCCATCACTGCTGGCTCCCAGAATGTGTATTAACAGGAAGCTAGAATGGAGAGCGGAGCCAGGATTTGAACCCAGGCATTTTGATATGGGATTTAGATATCCCAAGTGTAGCATCTTAACCACTTTGGCAAATACCCACCTTGCAGGGAAATAGAATTTTGATTTACTGTTTATTATGGATTAGGGCCCACATGGTAACTTGAAGAAAACTGATAAGATACAAATGATTTTTATCTGGTAGAAATGCAAAATATTGCTGTCCAGTAAAAATGGTGATCCCAAAGGTTGTGGTTTAAGTAGTGTCGCTCCCCGTCTTCGTGGAGGAACGACACAGGACCCTGCATTGTTCTTTCGTCTGCTCGGCCCTCCCCGGGTTTGCTGCTGGTTCTTCCCGGGTTGGCTACCGACCCTTCCACCTCCGTGGAAGGGCGGTTCCCCCTGCCACTTTCCCCACTTCCGCGGGGGAGCGGCACACCACCGGCCGGCTCTCTCGGGGGCTGCTCAGGTGTTCCCCTTAGATGTTCCTGGTGCATGTTGTCTCTCTCCTCCTTTATAGTCCTCTTCCACCAATCCCAACTCTGCTACCCACACGCCGAGTACGCTGCTCTCCTCCAATCAGGAGCAGCTCCTGCAGCTTGTCAAGTTGGTGAAAGGCAGCTGTGTAGAAGCTGTTTAACTCCTCTCCCAGCGCCATATTGTGGGAGAGCAGATGCATAGAATAAGTCTTAATTCCAGTAACTTAGTCTAGTCTGAGTTGCTCCCCACAAGTAGGCAGTAGGTTTTTTTGTTTTGTTTTGTTTTTTAAGATTTATTTATTTGAAAGGCAAAGTGAAAGAGAGGGAAAGACAGAGAAATAAATTTTCCACCCACTAATTTACCTCCCAAATGGAACTCAACAGCTGAGACAGGGCCAGGCTGAAACCAGGAGCCAGGTTCTCCACTCTAGTCTCCTCCTACAAGAGTGGCAGGCACCCAAGTCCTTGGACTGTCTGCTGCTGCTTTCCACAGGCGCATTAGCAGGAAGCTGGATTGGAAGCAGAGTAGCTGGAACTCAAACAGAAACTGCAGTATGGGACACTGGCTTAATCTTCTGTACCACAATACTGCCCACATAGGATATTGTATTCATTGTCCATTATGCAGCAAAATGACCTAAAATTTAGTAGCTTGAAACAATTAGCATTTATGATTGTCATGGTTTCTATGGATTAAAAATTCATAGAGCTTTAATTCTTAGAGAAACAATTTTCATATGCTTTGTACAAGTTTTGTTTGTTTTCTTATGGAAAGTCATCTGACATGTACTGTCTTTTTTTTTCTCCCTCTAGTGTGCCCTGCAATTTTGTTTTGATTCCTTTTTAATTCTGAGCTTTTACCCAAAATTTATAGCAAGCTTTTACATGGAAGGAATGAGGATTTTTTTCCAGGCCAGGTGAAATTTTGAGAGTGATTTCAAGTAGACTTTACATCTTTTCAGGGACTGGAAATTGTGATATGTGTTCATTCTGGACCCTAGCATTCAGCCATCACAGAGACAGATTGTTTCTTGCAAATACAGCTTATCTGTGTGCCCGACTCTGCTGCTTCTCAGCACCAAACAAGGCCAGGAAGCTCCTGCCACCGGCTGGTATGTCCCTGTCCCTGCTGTTGTAAACAAAGGGCTGAGGGTAACCCTTCAGAGTGGGCCTGCTCTCTCTGAGATGGACCTTTGTTGCTGCTTGCTTTGTGTTGTCTTGTTTTTAAATATTGCTGCTGTTGAGTCCCTCTCTACCACAGCAACTTCCACCCATGTCCTCCTGCAACCCCTCGGAACAGTCTGATGCTTCTGGCCATCCCGCCTCCACTGGGCCTAAGATTTCAGATCTCTCATGTTTTTCTCTGCAAACGGAATTTGTTTTTTTGTTTGTTTCTGCTTGTTTTTATTCTCATTGTTACTTAAAAAAAAAAAAAAAACTATTTATGTATTTGAGAGGCAGATAGAGAAGGATCTCCCATTCACTGACTCCCTGAAGGCCTGCAGTAGATGTGATTGGCTGGGGCCAAAGTAGGGAGCTGGAAACCCAATGAGGGTCTCCAGTATAGGTGGCAAAAATCCAGGTTCTTCATCAGCTGGAAACTGGAATCAAGAGCGAGAAATCGAATTTGGGTACTCTGATGTAGGGTGTGGGCATCCTAAATGCATCTTTACTGCTAGGCCAAATGCCCACCCCTGGTTGTTGCTTTTTATATGATTTCTCATAAGAGAAGTAATAATGATCCCTTTTCTCATCAAACTTTTTGTAAACTACAAACCTTCAGAAAAGCTAAAAAAATAGTACAATGAATATCCACTGCCTTTTACCCATAGTCTATAATATTTTGCCATATTTGTTTCCTCTCCACACTAAATATTCTTTGGCTGGACCACTTGAAAGTTGCAGATGTTGATGTTTCATCTCTAATTACTTGGCAAGCATCTCCTAAAATGAAAGACATTTCTCCCACATGACCATAAAATCATTACCTCATTGACGTGAATTAACATTCATTCAGGATATCATTTAATTGAACATACAGTCCACATTTTAACGTCCCCCAATTTCCCCAAAATGTCTCTTTATTTAATTTTTGACATAGTTTCCAATCAAGATTCATAACATCACTTTTGGTTGTTTCATTTCATTAGATCTCATTTGATGGAGAACTACCTCCTCTTCTTTCTGTTTTTATTCTTAGAGTATTCAGGTCATTTGCCTTATGAAATGCCCCCATGTGACTCTTCCCTTATGCTCCTATGGACAGTGCACATGCTACTTAAATTCTCAGAGGATGTTTATTCCAACATGATTGCTGGTAACACTCAAAAAGATAAGGTGAGTGTTTTTGTTTGAGATCTGAGCACACTCTACACTTCAACCAGCAGGATTTGAATGCAGCTAGGAGGAAGCTATTTCCTGATAAGCCTTAAATGCCAAGTTGTTTTCTATACTTACCTTCAATTGTGTTAAACTACATTTTGGCTATCAAATGAATGGTATACTTTTTATTTTATTTTTTTACAGACTACTTTCTATTTTAAAAGTCATTTTTTTCTTTCCTCGTCTCCTTGTGGTAATTTTTTTTCAAACTAGCCTTTTAAGCCTACCTATGTTTTGGCCTATTTACATGTACCCAACACATGGATTTTTCTCTAAAATTACCTTAGTTGGCCCATTTGATCTTAATCTCACCTACCTATTTTCAAATAAGCAAAGAATAACCAACATTAGAAGAAAAGCAGAACTAATCCTATAAATGCTTAATGTCAAGAATAAGAAAAGTTCTTTCACTTATACCTTGTTTAAATAATTTTTGACACAATATTTAGTTAAATACTGGAGTTAGGGCCTCCAAAGTATATAATACATAGAAAATCTGGGAATCTTGAGATAAGTTTTGAAAAGAACTTTGGTTAATTTCAAAATAATACTAACTTAGAAGCTCTTTACAGAGTACTTTTACATATATTATCTGTGCTGATCTTTACAACAGTCTAGGCAGTTAAAAAAGGTAGTTAATAATGGTGGTGGAATCTCTTTCAAATGAAGAAAAGAAGCTTAAGGACCCAAACACTTCAACCATCCGTTGATGCCTTGCACCATCTTCATAGGTGGAAAGCTGGAGACAGGAGCCACAGTCAGGAGTCAAACCTAAGAATATCTATGTAGGACACACACCCACCCCTACTTTTCACTTTAAAGGCAGCGCTGAACATCAGACCTACAAAATGAAGGTCTGGAGCAACCAACCATAATAGTTCTTTTTCTCCATCATGGGCTTGCATATTTTGTTTATTTTACTGATTATGGGTAAGTGATAGATTGGAAACCATTGGTTGCAAGTATAGATAATCAGAATTATAAAGCAGCTTCATTATTGCTCAAATTCCTCTTCAACAAAGTAATGTATATAGGTGTATACACTGACACACAGGTATAGTTTACATACATAGGTAAATAGGTCCCCCCCCTCCATAAATAGGGCTTTTTATTTGCCACTAATAAAGTCTTAAGTTTTAAACAGACTCTTGGATTGGTGGTTCATATCCATCAACTCACACAGCTTAAGCATCTGTCACATCCCCTGTGGCTTTTCCAGAACTACTACCTTCACCATGAAGATCCATGAGTCTACCCAATTCAAACCTGGGCTGCTTCAGCATTTTTACTTTTCTAACAAGACATCATGAGAGGATAAAGAGATAGGCAAGCCTTTTCTCTGTCTTTTCCAGTGCTGTCTAGGATCAGTTTATTGATCACTTCTTTCAAGTCATTTGTTGGCAACCCTGAGGTTGTGATTTTCATCACCTTCTGGAGTTGGCGTACCTGTTGGTGCAGAGCGTGAGATGTCTTCCATACCTGATTGTTGCTTTTTTCTTCATTTTTTTAGTAAAACCAGCACAGAACAGATGAAGCAAATAACTGTCAGTAGTTTTGACATCAACATGGGCTTCAGTCACAGTCTGCCATTTTTTGACCATGAAACACATTTAGTCTTACACAAGTAATATCCATGCCACGGAAGCTATTTTTGCCCCAAACATCCTCAGTAATTAGCTTGATTTTTCTAAATGCTTTTTCATCGTTCTGCAGGTCAGCAAGGCACACTTAAACACATGACACTTGAAATCATCAGCTGCAATTTTGAATCCTTGAGTCCTTGTACATATTTCTTATTTTCAGCAGTATTTCTTATGTTCAACATACCAGGTGCTTTCACATCAGACCAATGTTTCTTAGAAAACAGACCAACCACCTTCCTCTGGATGCACTTTTTGCCACCTTTGGCTCTTGCCAGCTGCCATGGAAGTGCTCAGAGAGCAAAAAGTCTGTATTTTTTGTATTGTCACAGGAAGACTGGCATGACAATACTCTTTCTATATATGAAAACTCAAAAATATCCAAACTGAATATCAAGGAAAATAATTCATTTGAGAAGAAAACGAACATTTATTAACAAGTTTCTTCCTGAATTTTCAACTCTTCTAAAACACAAGAAATATTTCCTGTACTTGAGTTCTCATTTCCTATTTTGGATTCTGTTATCCTGTATTTCTTTACATTTATGAGCAAGAGTAGTATATTAGCTTTTTGTTACTTTAGTGTAAACATCTGAGACAGCCACTAAGTAAGGAAGAAGGTTTATTTCAGCTTATAGTTTGGAGATTCATAGTCAAAGCTCAAGCAACCCCAGTTGTCGGGCATCTGTTAGAGGCTGGCAATGGCTGAGTGTATCTGGAGGAACAACCACATGGACAGCCAGCAAGCAGAGCAACACACAGGATGCATGCTCAGCCTGTGTGTCCAACTGCCTAATGAGAACTACCTTCTGAGGGCAAGCCTACAATGAGCTAAAGACCTCCACCTGGCCCAACTCTCAGATGCCAGAATTAGATCAAGTCTCTATCCTTAACCCATCAACTGTTAACATAAGACTTTGAGGTTTAAACATCTCCATGAATGTGGGAGCCAAGTCTTGTTCAACCTGTAATAAGAAGACAATGTTGGGTGAGAGATGGCTATTTGCCCACTGCAGCATTTGCAAATGCTGAGTTCTCTTATTATCTACCTTAATCATACTCCCTCAATTATGAGCTTCATTTAATTAGTATTCCTAACTTCTATATCTGTTAGGAACAATAAATACATTCTAGAAAATTTGAAACCATATATCCAATCACTGGAACTATCTTGCTTCCACACTCATGTGTTCTCTGTTCCCAAGGGCCAAGTCTTGCTTATCTTTGTGCAGCTTAGCCTTGGATCTGCCCACAAAAGACACTCAACAAAGCAGAACTGCCCTCAGTTGTCCTCCAAGGAGAAAAGGGATAATAAGGGTTTAGCTGAAGCAGTGCTCCAAGTAGAAGTGAATTCAGTTTTACATGACATATCCACACTTAGCTCCAATTATGGACTAGTGTAACTGTGGCTATTCACTTGGTATCAGCTCTTTCCCTTCAGTAAAAGGTATAATCCTACCTCTCTTTTTTAAACATTTTAAATCAAGTTTTCTCTCCTCTAATCATGTAATAAATAGATCAACATCTCATTATTTGAATTCAAAGAAAGGTATTTAAAATAGTAATAGAATGCAATTTAAATGAAATGTTAGTCAAAGGTTATTTGTGATGATTTTCATTGAATTAACATTAATTATGGAAGGCAGTTTCTTCAAAACAGTACAAGAGTTCTCTTTCACAGCTGAAAGGGTTTTTATTTTTAATTCTTAAAATTATTTTGGTTTTCAAAATTTGGTAATTGCTTTGAATTTTGCCTCACAGCTTATTCAATGGCTTGTTTTTCTGCTAAATTTTGATTCCCCTAAATTTAAGTTGATTTCTTAATTGCTGCTCCTATTTCAGGAATCTTACAAAATATGAGTGGACCCAGACAGGGCAAGTATACTTAGTTTTCTCCATGGTTCTAAATACTAAAAGAGCTCTCATGGCTTGTCATAGCTTCCTCTGATGCAGAATTAGTAAGACTTATGTGATATGTACATGAGTGATTTGTTATACACCATAGCAACTGTATGGTAGGAACTACATAAACAGCTTCTCCTTGTAAGTGGTCATTATTAAGAACCATCCAGGATCTGAAGAGCTTCCTTGTCCCTCAGGAAATGATGAAGTCTGGTGAAGTCCTAGTCCCACCCAAAAAGCACACAAAAAGACCTCTAAAGCAACTCCTTGTTAAACACCAACCCCCCTCACACACATTTATAAAAATATTAAAATAATATTCTCACAAAAGCAAAGTCTGAGTTTAGAGAACAAATATCAAGTACATGCACAAAAGCTTTCATTTCACCCGTATATAAATGGCTCTAGAGAAAGATGCATGAGAAAACTACAGACTACATAACCCAGTCTTTATGACACCTAACCAGGGTCAGGGGGAGGAAATAAATAGTTCATAGTTGGGGTCAGTCCTCTGTCCCATGGTCCAGTCATGGAGATACCACAGTGTCACAAGGCAGTGAGTGTCCAGACACCTTTCCAGATAACTTCCTGAGTTGGAGTATCTTCCAGAGACTTTCATGTTGCTCCTCCCAAAAGCCAACATTATTTTTCCCTTGGTCTGTTCAGCCAGACGTCAGCCATCCTGCAATATAAATTAGAACCTGTTGTGGGACTGGGCCTCACTGGACAAAATAGGAGTGTTCCAGAAAACGGTTGTCTTGATGAATTTGAGGGAACATCTCATAAGACCAGTACCTTGTAGTCTCAGGATTTAGAGGGAATAAAAAGATCATGGAGTCCACCAAGCACAGGAACTCTTAAGGACTCCCATACAAAGTCCATTGAGGTGTACTGCACAGTGTTTCCTAAAGAGTGCTCCACAAAACATTAGCCCTCAAAATGTTCCTTGTTAAAAGGTTTCCCTCTTAGAGAAAGAGATGTGAGCTAGCAGCTTGCTGTCTTGCCATGTGATCCCCTCTGCCACATTATGATTCAATACGGGGCCCTCACCAGAGGCCAATGCCTTGCATTTCGCAGCCTTCAGAATCATGAGTGAAACGAACCTCTATTCTTTATACATTAACCAGTCTGTGGTATTTCAGTTATAGCAACAGAAGATGAACTAAGACAACTGTCTTCTATCATTTAAATTATAGGACTCATAGACATCATCTGATGCTAAATAATTAATGTGGAGATCATTTTTTCCTAATGCTATTTAATTAGCCTGACAGGAAAAAAATCTTGAATTTAAAAAATCCTTTGTCTACATATTGAACTCTTAGATATAAATTTATCATGCGTTTTCCTTGTTAGTTTATTCCTAAACAAGGAATGTCTTCCCATTTTTTATGGATTCAGCTGAGAGACTGCATAGTATGTATTTATATTAATGCATTTTACACAAGAGCATGTTATATTAATGAGCACAAATGAAATTAAATACTGGTGGTCAGTGAACCATCCCTATGATCTGTGAAATGAGAAAATTGAAAACATAAAAGAACATTTGAATGTGAAGACTTATTTTCCAAAGAACAAAATAAAGTTTTAAAAGGAAAAAAAATCTTTATTTCCATTTCCTAATGGAATTTGATAATCAAGAAATCTCACTTGTATAAAGGATTGTCCTACTCCTAACAGGCTGTGTATTTCTCCCAACTCAGGAGCACAGTTTAAGTCACTTGAAATGCGATAGGTTACAAGAAGTGAATTCATGACAAAAGCAAGTACTCCTCCAAATTCAGAGTCCAGGAGATGGGCCTCCTACATTCCAGAGACCTGGTATAATTGTCTTTCTGGTACCCACAGTGCTCATGGAAATAGCTTTTGTAGGCTGAGTTGGTACTCTCAGTGATTAGCTCAATTCTAGGCTTTATCCAGAAAATTTGCACATTTATTCTTTGCTTTTTTTTGGATTACAGATCCCTTTGAAAATCTGTTCAATGCTATTAACCTCTTCTCTCCTCTGAAATGAGCATATGTCCATGCATAATTTTATACAAAATATAAAGCCCTTACATCAGTCTCCCTGAACTCATTTTTTAGACCTCACGTTAAGAATCCTTGCCATAAGATATTGAATTCTGGCACCAAATCATGAATTTTTTCTTATGCACCTTTATATTTCTGGCTTGGGCTATGCTTGGCGAATACATATGGGAGAGCTAGGTACTGATAGATTTTCCAAGATAATGAGCAGGGGAAATGTTAAATATAAAGTTGGTGTTGCAAATCGATGGAGACAGAAAGTATAATAATTGCCCATGGCTACAGGGAGGTGGAGAATGACTGCAGTTGGGTACAGAGCTTCTTTATTTAGGAATGATGAAAATGTTTTAAAATTAGATTATACTAATGGTTGCATAATGCTGAATATACTAAAAACTGAATTTTACACTTTTAAAGGATGGATTTTGTGGTACATGAATTATGTCTCAACAAAGCTATTTTTAAAAGTTAATATTATCGGACTGGATGAACCAGCAGATGAAGATCTCTTTCTCTCTGTCTCTCACTATCTGTCACTCTGCCTTTCAAATACATACAATAAATCTTTAAAAATAAAAGTTAATATTTTAAGAAAAGGAAAAATAGCTTATAAGAAACTTCATATGACTGAAGATAATGTGTGGCCTCTTTATTACCTTCAGTGAGGAAGGAGCTAAGGATTTTGGTTAAAGGTCATTGAAGTTTTTCTCATCCAAAGGAAAAAAATGAAGACAGCATGCTTAGGTCTCTTGAATATGGAGAGTAAAGAACTTTACCCATGAGAGTAAAGAACACTGGACTGATCCAATAGAATCTCTGCCTAACCCAGTCTGTTAATGAGAATGATTCAACAGGGAAGTGATGGCTGCCCTCCATGACACTGCTTCAGAGGTTAGAAATACATGCCAGCCAAGTCCTCGAGTCCCTGCTCCTGCATGGAGACCCAGAAGAAACCCCTGGCTTCAAATTGGCCCAGCTCTGGCCATTGTGGTCATTTGGGAAGTGAACCAGTGGATGGAAGACCTCTCTCTGCCTCTGCTTCTCTGTAACTCTGCCTTTCAAATAAAGAAATAAATCATAGAATGAATGGATGAATGAATGAATAAATGAATGAGAGAAAGAAGAAAGGGAGAAAGGAAAGAAAGAGAAATATGATACCAGTTTCTCCAAACTCTTTTTCTTAAAGCACTATGGATTTTTCACTAATGAATTTATCTAACTCCATCTTGAATCAATTTCCATTTTCAGCATATACTAACAAATTCCATATGCATCCCCATTTGCTTTGGATGATTTGTATATGATTCCTATGCAGGGGAAGAACTTGGTTTATAGAAGGTTGAGTTCTCTCTAACTGATTTGCACCACTTCTTTCTGCGGGGTGATATCAAAGCCTCATTTAGTAGGGTCTAGAGTTTCCAATTCTTCTTTATCTGCAGATCTTTTGCTTCCAATGTCTCCTGTATGCTTGGGACCACGTTCTAGCTTGGAAAACTAAGCAGATCTGTAAAGCACAACAGTGTAAGACACATGCAATAGTCATTGGTTTCTGGAGCATAATTTCAGGATGAAAACATGACAACCTTCACTAGGTTTTAGAACTTAATTCAGTTCAGTTTTATATATGATGAAACTGAGGTACAATGGAAAGAAACCATCCTTCCAGGGTCAACAAAAAGGCCAAAAGTGACATACCTTGATTTGCAAATATCCTATTTTTAACACTAGAAGGCCTCCTCCCTTAATGCTCATCTCAGCACCTTCAGCCTCCTTCATTTTGTTTTATTTGTTTTACATAACACTGACCTCACCATCCTGTCTGGTCTCATCCTGGCCTTCATCCTGGTCAGGTTCAAACTCGGTGCCCCGATCAACAACATCCACTCCAGCCTGTACCCTGGGCTTCTCGTTTTCCCACTTGGCAAAACCTTTGTCCTTTGCGGCTTTGTCATGGAACTTGGATTTCATTTTGGGGAAGGTGTGGGATCCTGAATCCCCCCAGCCAGCCTCCGACCAAACAGGTTCAGTCTGGGTGGCCTGGCTGGTGGTGGCCCGCTGTAACCTCACAGAGATCTTGCGGGAAGAGCCTGTGACCAGTGTGATGGCTCTGCTGTCCAGGTCCTGATGTCCAGCAGCAACCCCAGGAAACTCAAATACATCATCCTGCACTGAGGGGGAAAGAAGATAGTAATTAATTGACACCTGGATGTTTGAGAGCAACCCTTCAATGTCCATGCAAAGAAAAGGAATCTGACATGCAAGGTCCCAGAGAAACAAACTAGAAACAGAACTAAATTACCTACAAGGGAGTTGAATGTTAGACCTGACAGCAGAGAGAAGTGACGGGGAAGTCAAGGGTCTAGAAGTCAAGAGTCTAGACTCAGAACCCAAATGAGGTCCAGGAATGGGAGGTGAGCAATGAGACATTGTGGAAGAAAAAAAACAACCCGAGAGGACATTACCTGGGGGTATTGAGGGGCTTCCTGGCAGTGACCCATGACTACTCCCCAAGGAGGGTGCCCGGGCCAGTCTCCTGCAGGCCAGAACCAGGAGGTCTTTGCACTGTTTGTGACAATTGGCTCCACAGTCTGAAAAATTCCAAATGAGTCACACATGAGGAATGTGAAGCATGACTGGGCTTCCAGAGTGGCACTGGAGCTGCCAGCCTTCTCTTCCCCCACCCACTTCTAGGGTGACTCTCAGCCCAACGCAGGTCCACAGAATGTATCTAGGGGCTGAAAAAGGACCATACCATCTCTCTTGAGCTCCTGAAGTCCTTTTCTATTTGCTCAACTTGTTCCTCTCTGTAAGTTATTGAGGTGCTTAGGGAGCATGCAGAAGGAAGGGCCTAGTCTGAGAGGTAAGTTACTCTTGCCCAAAATGAAATGCAAATCATGTGGGACTGGGGTTCTTTCCCAGGCCAAGATGGAATCCCCACCAAGAGGCTCTGGAGTCTCAGCTTCACCTCTCCTGGGACCAACAGCTGCCTCTGCTGATTTACTGTGATATGTTCCTCCACTGAGTACTTCTCTGGATTTTTTGTTCATTTCCAGAAACCTTTTTCAGGGCAAGTAAGTGTATCTTCTGCTTCCTTTTTTTATATAGAAATAGAAAACAAGGTGGGCATATGCTCAATAAACATGTCCTTCATGTGTGGCTTGGATGTGAGTTTGGGTGCTGTCCAAAGTCCTGTGTGTTAAAGGCTTGGTACTCATAGGGTGGAAACTTAATCCAATTTTGGTATTTAGGAGTGAAGTCTTTAAGTAGTGATGGAATTGGATTGAGTTGTGAGGGTGGGGCCATGATTGAATCATATTGGTTTTATAGGAAGCAGCACAAGATGTACTCTGGCTCTTGCCGTGTAATTCTCTTTGTCAGCTTGACACTCTGCCAAGTAAGAACAATTTCCCTAGATGTCCAACTAATGGGGTCACCTGATCTTGGACGGTGAAGTTCCAAAATCATGAGCCAAAATAAACCTTTTCTGTTTACAAAGGTAGTTTCTTTTAGATATTTCATTAATGTAGGCATACAGCAGATTCTGTGAAATTACCCATTAAGATGTCTTAGTTAAGGCAGTAGAATATTAATTATGACTTGAGGTAGAAAAATGTGGCCATGTTGGAACATAGCTCATAATTATTTCATATGTTGAGAGTCCTATACTTCAATTAGAATCATTGAACAGATATGACCATTCTACAGTATATTTCACTCAACATCAAAGAAAACCTAAGTATTTACAATATCCATTGTTCCACAAATGATTTTGTTTCAAATACTCTTGATACCATGTTTAGTCTATTTTAATTAATTTTTTCTACTCTATGTGCCATTAGGAGAAAACACTGTACTTATATGTCCCAAGATAACCCAAGAGTTTAATTAATTTTCACCTTCATAAAATGTGTGTATGTGTGTGTGTGTATGTGTGTGTGTCTTTCAGGAAACAGAGGAACAGAAACCAGAATAAAACTAGTGACTCATTGCTAGGAAATAAGATACTATAATATTTTTGAAGTCTGACTGTAAAAATCCAAGTTAAACCAAAGCAAGTGAAAGACAAGTTCTATAGGGAAGGACCTTCTGAGTACTTAACTGTGGCTTCCAGCTAGGAGCTTCACATAAACTTTCTGTTCATGCAAAACAGGACCAAATACTGAAAGATGGCTAGAGAAAAAAGGCATTGTGGGAACAGCATTCGTCTAAAGGTGTTCATGATTACAATGTTTCCTTTTGAAAATGTCATTATATTTTTCAAGAGCATTGCTAGATTTTTTAAAGAACCAATATAAACTATTTGCAAAGTATCTAGCAACTCAGATTAAACACCAATAATGTGTAATAACCAAATATATATACACATATATATGAAGCAATATATTCTCACAGGCTTAACACACATGCATACTGCATTTGTCAAATATATATATATATATATTCAGTTTATAAATTTCAGTTAAATGGGGGATATATTAGAATGAATTCATTGAAACATACAAAATAAGTTATGTCTCTCATGTTTTATTATCTTCATTATCCATATGATTTAGTAGAGAAAAGACTAGCTATGAGAAAGTAGGAGGAAATGCCTATGTCTTCCAGAAATTAGTGTTTTTTTTTTCCCTTTGAAGGGAAGTTCTTTTTTTTATAAATTTTATTTGAGAGGCAGAAAGACATACACACAGAAGACACAGAAAGAGACAGCAACAGAGAGACAGAAAAACAGAACTCCTGTCTACTTTTTTATTCTCCAAATGCCTGTAGTGGCCAAAATCTTGCATTATAACCCAAGTCTCCCATGCGAGTGGCATGGGAGCCATTGCAACTGCTTCTGAGGCATTAGCAAGAAGCTAAAATCTGGAGCTGGAGCTGAGAATCAAACCAGGCACTCCAATCTGGGACATATGTTATCTTAGCCACTTGGCTGAGTGCTGGCTCTGCAAAGGTTCTTATAGCCAGTATTTTAGTAAGGCTGTCACACTTCAGAATTCCCACCTTAACTGGACGCTGATGATTCTCTTATTTTTTTTAACAGACTTTGTTTTTTAGAGTACTTTTAGGTTCACATCAAAAGTGAGAGGAAGGCACAGAGATTTCCTATATCCTATGCATTCACACATATACAGTCTCCCCTGTAACCAATATCTCACAACCAAATGGCTATTTTTTACCACTGATGAACCCACATCGGCATCATTATCACCCAAAGGCAATAATTGACACTAGAGTTCACTCTTGGTGTTGTAATGATGGTTTCTTAACAAAATTTCAGCTCACCTGGGCTCCTTCCCTTCAACAACTCCTTTTCTTTCTTTCATTTTTTATTTATTTTTTTTTTTGTTTTTTCCCCAAAGAAACCTTTTATTTAAGGAATACAAACTTCTTGTGTTTTATAAGTAAACCTTTAGGAACATAATGGCTGATGATTCCTAAGGGATCTTGGAGACAGGGCTAGATGGATGTATGCTGATAAGGTTGGCTTGCTGCCCTCTCAAAGCATGCTGTAAATTTCTAATTCTGGTTCTCTAAAACTCTGGTGACTCCTTCCTGGACACATTCACCCTTGGTGGCCATTGGCACAAGAGACCTAAGTTCTCAGTGATATCAAGAACTTTTGTTATTGTATCTATGAACTATATTGAATCTGTTAAAGAAAAACTAATTATAAATTAAAACAAAAAATTTTAAAAATAAAAAGAGCTTTTGCTGCTTAACCAGAAAATTTGGATTCCTACCTAAAATGTCTCAGTTTGAAAACTAAAAAACAGTAAGAACATGAATTTACCTTTGCATTTGTATCCTTGCTTGATTATGCCCCAGAGCTGCAACAAAAGACAAAGGACTGTCAGAGAATCTGGAGAGAAATCTGGGAGGAAGTTCTGGGAAGTTTCATGACTGGCCAGGCACAAACAGGATGTCACTGCTGTTAACACTCTTCCTGTCAAACAGAAGGACCCTCTCCCAGCCCACCCCAGTTGTGGTGATAACATGAATTTTGCTTCCTTTTTCTTTCTCAGAGCCAAATGGGAGCTGGAGTGGGAAATAGCATTTGTGTGTTTGTTAGACTCCGGCATGACACACTCTCAGCAAGATTTACAGGGGAGATGACCACTTTGTGTTTGGAAGCCCCTAGTGCCATCTCTCCTTATCACTATAGGAAATACAGCAATCTAAGAAATGCACTTGGATGTAGGCAGGCAGATAGAATAAAATCGATTCGATTTGTAAGCTTGAGACCACGCCCTCAACCACAGCCCCTGTGTAATCTCATGCCCTTACCTGATCTCACCTGAATGCCCACCTGCCCATCAGACTATGTAATCACTCCCCTTTGGAAAGCATACAAAAGCCGAGGAGCGCCCTAAAATCGCTCTCTGCCTTGGCTAAGCTACTTGTAACTGCTCATGACCAAACGCTTGCTCCACATGGCTATTGGCCTGCCCTCTGCTTGGTATGAACCCAACCTAGCCTCTAGACTTTCTTTCTCCCCTAAATAAAGCCCTCACTCTCCTGTACATTTCTCTCACTGAATAAAAAGGTCACAAACTTACCATGTTGTCTGGTCTATTTGAGCCAAAATTCTTCTCCGAATACGTGACAAGAGCCCACAAAATTATTAATATTAAAAAATATTAATAAGCAGGATGGTATCAACTTTACACTAAAGTGTTTGGATTTGTAAAATTATTTTATTTAAGTGTTTAATTATTTGAGAGGCAGTGAAACAGAGAAACAGTGACAGAGCAACAGAGCTCCATCCACTGCTCTTTTCCTCAAATGCCTGCAACAGCCAGCACTGGGCCAGCCCTAAACTAGGAGCTGGGAAGCCAATCCAGATCTACATGGCAGGAACCCAACTACTTGAGCCAACACTATTGCCTGCCAGGGTCTGCATTAGCAGGACGCTGGAATCTGGAGTCAGAGCAGGGACTCAAATCCAGAATTTTCTCTACTAGGTTAAATGCCTGCACCGTGTGTGGAAATTAGGTTTACTGAGTAGAATTTGTACCTTGAAAGAATTCAGAAGAGGAAACTAATTTACTCATATACTCAATCTTCACAATTCTTCCATGTTTGGCCTGCGCCAAAGCTGTATATGATGTAGAAAAGCCTCAGAATCTGCCAGCCAAGAAGTTATTGACTTCCACTTACACAATAGGAGTGGCTGCTAAATAAAAATTATAGGAGGCCATGTTTTGGACCAAGTTCTTTTACAGTCCCAGCAAACCTGACCCAAAACCAAAATGGAGCTACCCATGCTACAGTTGTGTATCACCAAACTGAAACTAAACTGTTTATCTTACTTTCCAAGAAACTATAAGAGATAACAGCCACATTTCCCAAACAGGCTGGGTTTCAATGATCATGATAATGAAGCTTCCTCAGCCTTATTTGTTACATACAAAAAGTAACCTGAGGGGCCGGTACTATGGCATAGTGGGTAAAGCCACCACTTGCAGTCCCGGCATCCCATATGGGAGCCAGTTCGAGTCTGGCTGCTCCACTTTTGTCCCAGCTCTCTGCTATGGCCTGGGAAAGCAGTAGAAGACAACCCAGACACTTGGACCCCTGCACCCACGTAGGAGACCTGGAAGAAGCTCCTGGCTCCTGGCTCCTGGCTTCAGATTGGCACAGCTCCAGCCATTACAGCCATCTGGGGAGTGAACCAGCAGATGGAAGACCTCTCACTCTCTCTCTCTCTCTTTCTGCCGCTCTGTAACTCTCCCTTTTGAATAAATATATACATTTTTTTTAAAAAAGTAACCTGCACTAACCAGTTGGTAACCAATCCATTATTTTTTTCTTTCCCTGTCCCCCAAAATAACTTGGAAATGAACAATTTTCTACTTTTTTTTTAAAGTGGTTCATTCACCAAAAGATCACAACATGACTCAATCCAGGTCTCCCAGGTACATGAGCCATCACATGCTGCCCCCCAGGGTTCCATTAGCAGGAAGCTAGAGCCTGGAGTGGAACAAGGACTTGAACCCAGGCAATCTGATAGGGGATGCAGGCCTCCCATGTGAAGTCTTCATTGCTGCATTAAATGCCCACCGGCACACTGTTTTAGCTTCTGCTTTCTTCAGCATTTCCCTGTCTGCCTGGCTCCTTAGAACACTTTTCTATTTTACGGAATGAAGTATTATTTTTGATTCTAGGATCAAAAAGCCAATTAAGATCTTCCAATCCCTTGACTTGACAAATTATCCAGGAGAGGTGTGAGGGTCCATGTTTCACAAGGGAGCGACTCTCCAGGCACTCCAGGGGTGGTGTCTGTCCTCCTGACGGACTCCCTCTAAACGCTGTGAAGAAGGGGGCTCATCATGATCTTTCCTGTGCCTCCCTGCAGCACCTACACATGGGTAACAGGGACACCAGGAACGCACGGTCTCATCAATTAAATGGGCCTAGTTCAAGTCAGAGAAGCTCCATTCCCAACCTCCTAGTGGTTAGGTTACATGGTTGTTTTTTACTTAATTAAATGATGTTGAAAGAAGCAGGACAGGTGCCCACCTGGGACGAATGGGAACATGGCTCACAATGTATCACAGGTGAGCAATGCTCCTGAGTGTGTCATCATGGCTTTGTAAGAAGCTGTCAGGGCTGTCTGTGGCATAGTAGGTTAAGCCTCAGCCTATAACACCAGCATTTCATATGGGCGCTGGTTCAAATCCCAGGTGCTTCTCTTCTGATCCAGCTCTTTGTTAATTGCCTGGGAAAGCAATGGAAGATGGCTCAAGTGCTTGAGTCCCTGCACTCACGTGGGAAACCTGGAGGAAACTCCTAGCCCCTGGCTTCAGATGGGCCCGGCTCCAGCAGTTGTGGCCATCTGGGGAATGAACCCGTATACAAAAAACCTCTCTCTGTCTCACCCTCTCTCTGTTGGTAACTCTGCCTCCAAATAAATAACTAAACCTTGACAACAACAAAAAAAAGCTATCACTTCTGACCCAGATCCCTGCTAATGTGCCTGGAAAGCAGTAGAGGACAGCCCGGGTGCTTGGGCCCTTGCACCCAACTGGGAGACCCAGAAGCTCTTGGCTTCTGGCCTCAACCTGGCCCAGTCTAATCTAGTTTGCTCCTCCTTTATGAAGGGTAAATATGGGGCCAGCATTTGGCAGGGCAGTTAAGAGCATTATGATGCCATTTGGAAACCCACATCCCATATCAGAGAGCCTGGGTTTGAGTCCTGCTCTGTTCAGATCCCTGAATTTCTGATTCCTGCTAACACACATCCAGGAGGCAGCAGGTGATGGCTCAAGTACTAGGGTCGCTTGCTACCCATGTGGGAGATCTGGACTTAGTTCCTGGCTCCTGGCTTTGGCAAGGCCCAATCCCAACCTTTATAGGTATTTGGGCAGAGTCCCAGTGAATGAAAGAAAGGGAAATAGAAATGATTTTAAAGGGGGATGTGATAATCCAGAAATTTGCAAGGACCAACAAACATTGTGTAAGCAGTTCTTTATCTCTATGGAGCCTTGATAGTAGTAAAGACGATAGCTAACATTTATTGAATTCTTGCTATGTGAAAGGCACAATTTTAAGCTCTCTACATGTTTTAACTCATTTAGTGCCCACGATAATCTTGTGGGATAGGTAATAATATTTTTCTTCTTTTTACATAGGAGGAGACTGAGTTCCACAGAAGTGAAATTATGTGGCAAAGCCTCCATCTATAGTAATGAGGGAAAGCAGAAAGCAAAGCCATTGTTCCGAGGTGGTCTATGTGTGAGCAAAAGCCACTGAGGTAGGCCAAGAAAAGATGAATAACAAGAGATGTCCTAATGTCCAGAGATAGTAGCAAGCCACAGGAGCTGCTAAAAAATAGAGACAGGGCTGGCGTCGCAGTACAGTAGATTAATCCTCCACCTGCGGCACCGGCATCCCATATGTGCACCGGTTCTAGTCCCGGCCGCCCCTCTTCCAATCCAGCTCTCTGCTGTGGCCTGGGAAAGCATGGAAGATGGCCCAAGTTCTTGGGCTCCTGCACCCACATGAGAGACCGGGATGAAGTACCTGGCTCCTGGCTTCGGATGGGCTCAGCTCCAGCCATTGCAGCCATCTTGGGAGTGAACCAACGGAGGGAAGACCTTTCTCTCTGTCTCTCCCTCTCACTGTCTGTAACTCTACCTCTCAAATAAATAAACAAAATCTTTAAAATAAAAAAGAGAGAGACAAATGATAGTTCCATGAGGACTAAAAGTATGGACATGGTGTGTTAATGCATACTTATAACCAGGAAGAAAATACTAGCCATGGAAAGGCCTTGGGCAGATAGATGGATGTGCAGGAATATTTCCCACATTCCTTTAAAATCAGAGCTTCTCTAATACTTGGAATAGTTTCTTAAGGCTTAAGGAACACTGGACTGGGTGGGCATTGTGGCACACTAGATTAAGCCAATACTTGGGATGCCTGCCTCCCATGTTTGAGAGCCTGTTCCAGTCCTGGCTCCTCCATTTCCAGTCCAATTTCCTGTTAATGTATTCTGGGAAGCAGCAGATGATGGCCCCTACAACCTCATGGAAGACATGGATTTAGTTCTGGGCTTCTGACTTTGGCCAATGAAAGGAAGTTTTCTCTCTTTGTCTCTGTCTCTCTCTGTCATTATGCCTTTCAAGTAGATGAAAAATAAGCTTTTATTTTTATAAAAAAACAAACAAACAAACAAACAAGGAGCACTAGAATGAGAGTCAGGAGACCTGGAGATGACTCATGGTCCTGCTTTTAAAGATCCATGTGACCTTGGGGAAGTCAATTTTCTCCAGATCTCAGTTTCCTCATCTGTAAAACAAGGGAGTCACCAACACTCTTTCACTTCTGGAATTCTAATTCTAAAATAAATGGATTGCAGCACAAGTCATGTCTGTTTGTCATCCTTACTCTGAAATTTGAACTTATTTCCAAAACAAATAATGCAGCCATTGGAAAATGGTCCCTTACATTCTTCCACAATTCTTATCAATGACACATCTATAGAGTTGTACTGATGAATTCCTTTGAAAGCCAATGGATATTTTTAAATGTATGTGAGTAGTGAGTAAAAAAACAAAATCAAATTTTACCAATGAAATTAGATGTATTTTGAAAAATATAAAGGACTATGAAAATTAAAAATAAGTTAATTTAAAATTTTCAAGGAGCATTAAGAAAAGAAATACACTGAACTATGTGACATCCAACATGCCTAATGTTATTTTGCTACCACGGCAACATGGCAGGTATTTCCTTCCTTTTACAGATAGGAAAACAGAGACTCAAAGATAGTTAAATAACTAGGTCAGAGAGAGTCAACGGGCATAAGAACAAGATTCAAACCCAAGGTTTCAGATTTCAAGTCCAGAGCTTTCTTTCCTCTAATTTTTTTAAATGATGGATTTATTTATTTGAAGAGCAAAATGACTGAGAGAGAGAGAGAGAGATCTTCTATTCACCAGTTCACTCTGCAAATGCCAACATCAGCCAGGGCTGGGCCAGGCTGAAGCCAGGAGCCAGGAACTCTGTCCAGGTTTCCAATGCAGGTGACAGAGACTCAAGAACCCAGACCATCACCCACTGCTCTCCCAGGCACATTAGCAGGAAACTGGATCTGCAAGTGGAGCAGCTAGGATTCAAGAAACAACACTGATGTGTTACCCAAAGCTCCCTCCCTTTTCAGCATCATCAGATCTAGATATTTCTTTCCCCCAATCTCCATCAAAATGAAAAAGGAGATGTATTTGTTTCCTAAAGAAGTGGCCTGGAGCTGCAAATCCCTGTGGGGACAGGAACAGAAGCATTTTTCCTTTGTTGGCTGAGAAAGAGCAGGTCCTCAGTCTTACCTTTTCTTTTTTCTTTTTCTTTTTTTTTTTTTTTTTGACAGGCAGAGTGGACAGTGAGAGAGAGACAGAGAGAAAGGTCTTCCTTTTCCGTTGGTTCACTCCCCAATGGCTGCTGCGGCCGGCGCACCGTGCTGATCCAAAGCCAGGAGCCAGGTGCTTCTCCTGGTTTCCCATGCAGGTGCAGGGCCCAAGCATTTGAGCCATCCTCCACTGCACTCCCTGGCCACAGCAGAGAGCTGGCCTGGAAGAGGAGCAACCGGGACAGAATCCGGTGCCCCGACCGGGACTAGAACCCGGTGTGCCAGCGCCGCAGGCGGAGGATTAGCCTATTGAGCTGCGGCACCGGCCAGTCTTACCTTGATCCTTGACCATAGCAAGTGCTATCACCCACCTGGAATCATTTTTGAGGTAACATCTGCCTCTTACTTACTCCTTCTCAGGTGGTTGTATGCTTGAACACAAATTCCTGCCCTTGTGTTCCCCAAAGAAACAATGTCATCTAGGGGAAGCATATATCAGCAATGGCTTCAATATGGGTCAACAGTGGGATATGACTACTGAATAAAGCAAACAAAACTGAGCTCTGGCATTTAGGAAAAGAGCAACCATCATACTAACTGGGGTGTTTGGCAGCCCTCACCTGGAATGCCACATTTTCCCATTTACTTAACTTGAATATAGACTGGAAGACATGCAGGGCCAAAAGCTAACCTCAGTTCCCAACGATTTCTCAAATGTGAGGAATGAAGGACACACTCTCCATTTGTTGTCATGGTGCAACTGGAGCACAGGATTCAAGTCAGAACACTTGTGTCCCCTGTGGCCCTCTATAGTCACAGGCAAAGGGAAGGGTTTGTTGGGAGATTTAATGAAATTAAGTGACTGGGGAAGTACTTTGTAACTGTCAAGTGTTAGGTAAATGTTACTTAGTATTATAACCATCTACTCTCTAAAAGATTTTTTTTTCCTTTTTGAGTTGGGAGTTAATTGAGTCATGTCACAGTGGATTTCTAGTGACTAATACCATATGAAATGAGCACTCAAAGGAACTGGCTAAGATAAATGCTCTGTTTAATTGCAATTACTTATGAATATTAGTGATGAATGCCAGGAGTTTGGTCTGACACCTTTCCCTGGCAGGGATTAACAGACAAACCACTCTCTTATATTAGCAGCTCTCACCAACCTGCGCTGTCTGCCAACCCTGCATTCCTAGAGCACAGCTAACCTCATAGATTTCGCCTTCACTTTCATTTAATTTTTACTGTCAGAAAACCATCATGATTTATTTCTGACCCAAAGCAGGCTCTAGTGAGTGTGTCATTTTTTACCTTCTCAGAATGCTGTACCAGTAACTACCCACCAAGGAAAATGATGGAAAACAGACTTACAAATCCTGCACAGTGTTCACAGAAGGTTGGCTTCAGGTAGGTCATCTCTTGAAAATTATGGACAAATCCTGGTCCCATTTTACAGTGTAGTTGGGATTTAGCTCTCAGGAAGTAAGCCATCATTTCGTCTTTACTGATCAAGCCATCTCTGTTAAGAGAATCAAAGAAGGGAGGGATCTTTGAATCCCACATTGCTAAGCAGTTGCCACACTTTACACACCCACCCTCCATACTTCTGTGGCCCAAAGGAGATGAGGAATGTTGACTTCTCCATCATATCTAAAGGGATCTCAAAGGACAGCATCGGGTACTGAAAGCCTTTCACAGTCAGTAAAGATGGGGTGTGTGTGTGTGTGTGTGTGTGTTCGTGTGTGCACACGCAGACATGTAGGACCATACACACTGTGCACACAGGAGGCCTGTGTACTCTGACACAGTATGGAATCACAACTTCCAGAAGGATATCTTTCTAGCCCTTGTCTAGCACTAGGGTTTACAAATTGGGTAGCTGGATAAAAAGAGGAAACTGTTTTAACTTCCCATTCTCAAGTTCACTCAGCCTGATCCCATCCAGCCACTTCCTCAGTGGCCCTCTCACTCATTCAGCCTGGCTCATAGCCTGTCACTGAAGCAGTGCTTCTGTATCATCTCAACACAGAACAAACTCACCTCCATATCCTCCACATACTGCACATCCTCACTCTTGTCTATCAGAAAAGATCAAATCTGTTGGACATAGTGAGCTGCAAGTCACCTTCTTTCTATACCAGCATGGGCCGGAGATCACAACTTTTCTGGTCAGTTCAGAATTCCTTTATACTCCCAAGTTCTTGCTTGGGATACTCCCAGCCCCCCACTGTCTAACCGCCATATGACTCGACACTTCCATCCGCTCAGTCTCTTCACCTATTTCTCCCTCTGCTTACAGTTATATTCAGGATTCTCCCTTCTGAAAAAATTTCCTCAATCCTACTACCATTTCCAGCACTTGTCTTTTCCCTCTTCCTTCTCTGATTCCCAGAGTTTTCAAAAAGAGGACTCTAGCTCTCCATTTTCTTCAATTACTCTTTACTCCATAGAGTCAGGTTTTCAGTCCTACTAACCTGTTGAGACTATCAGCAAGGACATCCTTAGTGGCCTTTCCTCATTCTTCAGACTTTCTGACCTCTTAGCAGTAGGTGGCATGAGGACAAAGGTCCTTTCTGACCCTCTCCCCTCTATGGAACCCTATGATTCCATGCAATACGGTTTTCCTCCTTCTCTTCACCCATTCTCCCACAAAATCATCCTTCCTCTCAACATCTAGATGTTGGGGAAGGTGTTTCTGCAGGCTCATTACTCAGGAGGATCCATGCTCTTCTCCCTCTGAATTTTCCCATCAGCCCTTGCTCACTACACTAAGGATGCCAGCTCACAACACTGGGCTGAAGACTGTTTCTCTACCCCTGACTATTCATCTGAATCTTCAACAATTCACTGGATGTCTCTTCCTGTTGGTCTACTCTTCTCCCAAAACAAACATATCCAAGCCCAACTCTGTATCTGTCTTACCAATATTCCTGCCCCAGGCTCCTCTAATGCTGTTAGCAGTACCATAATTTTCTTTCAGGTTTAAGAATTTCAGACCTCTTCAAAATTAAACAGTCAACTCATGATTTGCTCTTCTCAAGAGCAACACATTATATTTTCGTCCCTGAATTTAAACACAAACACACACAAGGATCCTGGTTTCCTGGTGGAGGTACATTCATGGAGTTGAAAGACATACAGACTAAGAGATGATTTATTGACAGATAGATGATCGATAATAGATAGATGAGAGATAGTAGATAAATGACAGATAGATACTTACATATACAATACCACTTAGTCACGCAAGTCTGGGCACCAATTAGAATACAGTGAACAGGGTTCCTGGAGCAAAACCATAAAGCAGCAACCCCAGTCCAGGCCCCTTCATGGCTTAATAGAAGAAGGAAAAACAATACTTGTTGCCTAGCATGTGTACCATCCTTCATTATATAGATCTGTTACTATATGTTACTATAATGTAGCCAGGAGCTCCATTATCCAGCCCTTCCTGAATCTAGGGGGAGGTCATATGACTGTTAGCCACCAAGCCAACTTGAACAGACCTAGGAGTTTAAGAAACTGCTGTGCTCCTCCACCTCCTCTTCTCTCATCTGCAAGATGTATTCAGAGGGCTCCACGACCCTAGATGCCAGCAAAGCCAGGAGATAGAAGGAGCCTACTCCATGGATTACCAGGAAGGGGAGTGCTGACCAGCCACTAGGAAATTAGACCCTTAGATAAGTGAGGAAAAAAACTTCAGTGTGTCAAGCTAATGAAAGTTTGGAGTTTGTCTCCTACAGAAGTTGGTGGTGTCTGACTAAGCACACCTGGAATTATCCCATGTCCCTCTACAAAGAAATGGCCCATCTTTCCTCAGTTCATGGTGGGAGTGTTCACATATGACCAAGGCATGAGAGAGTAGCACCAGCTTCTCTGAGAGCCAGTCAGGGCTATCCCTAGCATTGACTCAGAGAACCTGCTGTGCTCACACCTGCCATTCTGGAAATAAAAAGACAGAACATCTTCAATCTTTAAGTTAAGTTCTGAAAGAATTTCTATCTCCGAATGAAATTTTACTTGGTCATTGATCCAATGAAACTTCCCAAGGTGGCCTAAAACCTGACTTCCTGCCCATGGGGAGCAGATTACAAGTTAAATATTCCAAATAACAGTTCTCAAAGAGCTTTCTGTGGGAAACCAAACCCTTAAGATGCTAATCGGGGCTGCAGAGAGTAGGAAAAATGCTTTGGTTAAAAAATAGCTATTTATTTAGGCCTGCTTTGCCAGCGTCGCTGCACTTCTACTATCACCTCCGCCGCTGGCCCCTTGGCACTGCCTTCCTCCACGTCTGCCTCCAACTCCACACACTTCACGCCCTCTGTCGCATGTTTGTCATTCTCCACGGGCCTTGGGCACAGGCGTGGTGGACAGCAGTGGCGGCAGAGCAGGCCAGGCCTCTACCGAGGCAGCAAAGGGCGCATCGGGGCTGGCGGGAGCAGTGGCCCCATCAACCCGGCCTCCTTGCCTCCCGGGGACCCGCAGCTCATCGCCCTCATCGTGGAGCAGCTCAAGAGCCGAGGTCTGTGTGACAGCTTCTACCAGGACTGCCCAGCCGACGTGGACACCAAGCCAGCCTACCAAAACCTGAGACAGAGAGTGGATAATGTTGTGTCCACTCATCTGGATAAGCAAGAGTGGAGTCCTACAATGAACAAGCACCAGTTGTAAAACGGCCTGAGGCAGAGCGTGGTTCAGTCAGGGATGTTGGAAGCTGGGGTAGACAGGATTATTTCTCAGGTGGTGGATCCAAAACTAAACCACATCTTCAGACCCCCGATTGAAGGAGCAATTCATGAGTTCCCGGCGGCTCAGAAGAAAGAAGCAGTGCCAGCACCCCTCCAGAGCCTGAAAGCCCAGGAGCCCGAGCCCCGAACCAGGGTGCCTCCTAAGAATGTGCCTGACACCTTTTGACAGCTCCGTACGGTTATGGTTCAGTTACATAAAAGAACAACTTCCAAATGGAGATGGGCCACGCTCGTCACTGATTTCCAGATCGCAGCCTTGACTGTGGGGCGGCGTCTGGATGGAACAGAGAGCTGTTGGGTAGTCGGGGAGTGGACTGTGTGCCCCTGCATTGCGCTGCCATTGGCACTGCTGCACACGGCTCTGACACGGGAGACACTGCAGAGACGCAAAGAAACACTACAGCAACCTTGGTTGCCCTGAGGCAAGCTCTCATACTTGAACATGGAGACTGTACGTGGGTTTTAGGGTTTGCACTCAGGGCTAAACAAAAGCTCCAGTGACTGAACATGACCAATCTCAAAGATGATGTCAAAGAATAATGGCAGTGAATGTTAGCTGGGAGCAGGTATTTGGCCGAGCTTGCTTGGTGTCTTTGAGTCTCAGAGTTGCAAACTAGAATGTACAAATCATTAGCACCAAATAGCTTTAAACTTATCGTGACTTGTACGGAAATCTTCTAGCCAGTTTCCTTTGCCTTGTAGAAGACAATGTGGAATCCTAGAATGTGTGTAGAAGATGACATGAGTGGAGGGAAAACGGTTGTAGGCTCTCCGCCCAGGGCATCTTCCTGTCCTACAGGGGCTGGTGAGTCTTGGATGTGTTTAGTTTATTCTCACGTTTGTGTTTTTAGAAAACTGAATGATCAATAAATGGTATAAGTTTTATAATAAAATCATTTACTACTTTAAAAATATATATTTAATTTCATAAAATTCATACAATAAATATATTTGATAATATATTTGATAATTTCATATACAAACAAAATTATAAAATAGTGTATTAGTCCATTACTCTCTTAGAGTCATAGAGTAAAACACCTTAGTCTATTAAAAGTTTTGGGGAAGTCACACAGTAAAGACACTTATTTAATTAGTTTTCCATACTTGATTATGCTTTCCATACTTGACAAGTTAAGACCCTTTGCAAAAATACTGGTTAATACCTGCTTTTGTGGAACATAGTGTGGAAAACAAGATCTTAGAGAAAACATCTTTTTCTGATATTTTCCAGTATTAACCACTCAAACTTCAGTGTGGTTAACCAAGGAAAGGTTTGAGGTATTAACTTAGGGTATCACATTGTCTGACGAAGTCATCTAATAAGAAAGCTATGAATAGTTCAAACCTTCATTCTTAGAAAAAACACAGGTATTTATAGATGTTATGAGACATAGAGGTGATGATATAGAGAGACAGAGAAAGAGTTTTCTGAGACAATCTCAGTTCTTTCTATAGAGGTAGCAGAGAAGAAAAATGAAAACTAGAAGGTGGTTTTAAGTCCATGTTCTATTTATAAGTCACGAACAGCAACAAACTAAGGGAAGAAATGGGCAGCTGGGAATTTTACTTTGTCAAAGAAGTTTATGTTTCTTACAAGTATAATTTATTTCAAAAGTATTCTTTGTTCTGGGTATGCATTAAAGATGAATTTAAGATTTTAAGTCATTTATGTTAAAGTATCAAAGCTTTCCTTAGTGTGTTATATTACTTAGATTTCATTTTTGAAAAATTCTCATACCAAGAAAATATTAGAGGGCTTTTACATAATTTAATTTGGATATTTCACCAACATAAAATCCAGTATTTCATTACAGATGACTTTAAAGTCAGCAATTAACCTCACATAATTAAAATTTAATCAAATTTTTAATGCCAGCCTTTCTCAGCAATTGTTTTTAATTATTAGTTATCTTAAATGAGTTCAAACTTAGTCCTGAAAGCCACTAAATTTTCAGACATCATTGGAAACTAAAGAAGAATATATTTTTTTCTGTTTATCAGTACAAGCTTTGATCATAAAAATAATAAAGTGTGGATTATTTATTGTTATCTGCAGCTACCATGTGCTTCTGTGAAGATTGTTAACAGTCTAAGAAATCATGGTCATTTGGTGAATTTTAAGATTGCCCACAGTGGGACCAGCGCTGTGGCATAGTAGGTTAAGCATCTGCCTGCAGTGCTGGCATCCCATATGGGCTCTGGTTCAAGTCCAAGCTGCCCCACTTCTGATCCAGCTCCCTAATGCACCTGCAAAAGCAGTAGAAGATGGCCCAAGTTCTTAGGTCCCTGCACCCATGTAGGAGACCTAGAGGAAGCTCCTGGCTGATTAGCCCATCACAGCCATTGTGGCTATTTGGGGAGTGAACCAGTGGATGGAAGATCTCTGTTTCTTCCTCTTTCTGTAACTCTGCCTCTCAAGTAAATAAGTAAAACTTAAAAAAAAAAAAAAAAAAAAAAAAAAGATTGCCCACAGGTGCGGTGATGCTGAGGACTCCAGAGCTATATCTAACCATATTTCTCTTCTCTCTCTCTCTTTTTCTTTTTTTTAAAAATTTATTGATTTATTTGAAAGTCAGAGTTACACACAGAGAGAAGGAGAGGCAAAGAGAGAAGTCTTCCATTTTCTGGTTCACTCCCCAGTTGGCTGCAATGACTAGAGCTGCACTGATCCAAAGCCAGGAGCCAGGATCCTCTTCCAGGTCTCCCATGCAGGTTTAGGGGCCCAAGAACTTGGGCCATCTTCTACTGCTTTCCCAGGCCATAACAGAGAGCTGGATTGGAAGTGGAGCAGCCGCGACTAGAACTGGCACCCATATGGGATGCCAGTGCTGCAGGCAGCGGCTTTACCCGCTATGCCACAGCACCAGCCCCTCTTCTCTCTTTTGATGGCAGTTTTCTGGTGTTGGTAGCTAAGCAGTAATGTAAGAATTATATAGTTGGGCTAATTTGCAAATGGGCACTTGTGTTCAATACTAACAATGTGGTTTACCCTGGGATTCCATCCAACTGCTCATGTTCATGGACTCAAAGGAAAAAAATCAGCTAAGTGAAACTTATCTGATGAAAGCACTAGGGTTGAAGCCATCAAGATGTAAGCTATAGATTTCTCTGTCCTCTTCTGATAATAATTTCCTGTTTTAGGAAAGTTGCATTGAAATGTAACAAAACTAAGACTTACTGATCTTTGTCCAGCACACAGAAGGAATCCAAAAAGGGAAAATTGGCTGCTATACTTTCAAAGTCCTCTTGGGAGATGTACCCATCATGGTCGTGATCATAGTTTCTAAACACAGACTGCAAAGGAAAAACCAGTATTTACTGAGTAAGTATTTATAAGTCAGGCTCTGAACTGTTCTTGTGAAAGCAATGGAAACCAGCACGTTATCTTCCTTGCAGAAGCTTAGACTCTAGCGGGAGATAACTAAAGACATCTTTACAGTGCAACAAGATAAATGGTTTGCTTGAGTACTTGGGGATGCTGGGGTGAGATTAAGAAGGGTTTACTAGAAAAAGCAAGATCTAAACTGAGACTCTAAGTTGGGTAGGAGATAGGCTTGGTGGATTTACAAATTCCAGTACCATCACAGTAGAAAATGAAGCTTTAAGATGTTAAGTGATTTCAAAATTAAAGTCTACATTTAATTCAATTGCAATCAAATTCTCTCTCTCTCTTTCCCTCCCTCTCTCCCTTTCCCTCCCCCTCTTAAATTTAAAAAGTAAAATTCATCTCTATAATTTAAAAGATTGTAGTGATGATATGTTTAGATGAACAAACTTATTCAAAGGTTCAAATAGCAGTGAATATGTTAAGAATACACAAAATTATCTAAACTGGAGAGTAATGAAGGGGAACACACCCTTTCAGGCATCAAATATGCTATAAAACTACATTACTGAAAACATGATACAACTTACTACAGTGAGTGGCATTCAGAAGCAGGCTTATATATTTATGTATAGGAAATTAGAGTATCAAAAATATCTTCAAATCTATAATGAAATTATTGATTAGCCAATAATTGTCATTGAGCTAAATGGTCAATAATTTCATAAAATAAATTGTCCCCAAACTAAGCTCTAGATGCATTAAGAATTTTAACATAAAAAGCTATAAAATACCAAAGATAAATAGATACAAACATTTTTCATGTTTTACCAGTTTTGAGCAGAAAAGTGCTTTCTTGGAATGATGTAAACATCAAAAGCTATAAAGAAAAATATTTTACTACAATAAAATGCAAAACATCTGAATCAAAAAAGCTAAGCTAAGAAAGCTTTAGGTAAATGATAAAGAGAGCAAGTTATTTGTAGTTGCTATGATTTAAACAAGATTTGGCTTCCAAATCATGCAGATATGTTAACCCTAAGGTCATAAGTTAATGCTATTAAACAGGGTAGAGGCATGATAAAATTTGTGACCAGGAGATGGGCACAGTTGGGAGTCCACAGGTCACTGGGGCATGTCCTTAGGAAGGCAATGCTTGTGAGAGGGTTGGCCATGGAAGCCAAGCTGGCCATGTGCTCCACCACTGCCATCCTCTGTCCTCACCAGACAACTGAACTGATGGTGCTGCTCTACTGTGGACTGTGAACCTCCAAAATCACTCAGACCATGAGCCAGAATAAACCTCCTTGCTTCATAAGTAGCTTGTCTTAGGTATTTAATTGTAGTGAAGAAAAGCTGGTAAGTATAGCAACATATGTAAGAGGAAAGACACAAAAGTAAAATAGGCAATCCACAAAGTAAAATATAAATAGTCAATACATGCATGGATAGGTGCTCAATTCTGTTAATAATTACAGAAATGGAATTGAAACTTTTTTTAAAATTCTCAGATCTGAAAATATTAAAATTGCATCAAGTTAGTAAAGTAAATAGCCATTACTTTCTGGAAAACTCAGACTACTCTCTGACACAGTAATTCCAGTTTTAGGAATTTGTTCTAAGGAAACAATTGAACAAGATTGCTCAATATAAGTGTATGTAATATGTTTGGGTGAATAGATAGCTAGCTAGCTAGCTAGATAAACAGACAGAAAATGATATCATATAAGATAACCTACAAATGAATTATGCTTATCTCTGAAGAATACAATTAGCAAAGCCTGAAAATAAAGCTTTTTTTCTCTGTAATTTATGTAATAGTTTAATATTTACAATAGTCATGTCTTTATGGTCAGAGAAAAATAGAAAGTGTTTTCCAATGCCTTCTGCTAAATTAGATTTTTCTTTTTATATGCATACTTTATAATTATTTATTTATATTTACTTGAAAGGCAGAGAGACAAAGAAAAGAGAGATCTTCCATCCACTGATTCATTCCTCAAATGCCCACAACAGCTGGTACTGGGCCAGGCCAAAACCAGGAGCCCAAAATTCATTTTGGGTGTCCCACATTGTGGCGGGAGGGACCCAAGAACTTGAGTCATCACCTGCTGCTTCCCATGGTGCACATGAGCGGGAACAGAGAGTAAAGCTGCAACTTAGACCCAGGCACTCAAGTATGGGAAGTGGGCATTGTAAGAGGAGGCTTAACCATTACAATAAATGGCTTCCCCTAAATTAGGCTTGCAAAACAAGGCTCTTTAAACACATATAAGAAAATTTATATTTAACTTGGATTCCAGCTATAATTAATCTCTCTCCCTTTCTAGATGGTTTCTGTCTATCCTACCTGTCTTCATTGTCCTAGGTTACAAGCTGCTTCATGAGTATTTTGCTAAGTAGGTAAGATATAAATGAATGAATGAATTAAAATAGACTTAAAGGAGTGTTTAGCACCCAATGCTAGTTTATCTGTAGATAACCGAATTGCACAAAAACACGAAACATTACATTCTTTTGCAAGTTCCAAGTAGCTTAAAAGTTAACCATTTTGTAGAACTCATTTTTTATGGTCTAACAGCCTTATTTATATTAAGACTATAAGAGTTTTTGTGGAGCAAGTTAGAATAAAAATTCATAATAAAACCCAGTCTTCCATCTGCTTTAACCAATGGTTGGCAATTTATCCAATCTAGGCTGACCTCCCCCATGGTAAAGGAATTGGAGAGAAGGGAATTAAGGCAGGAGGGGGGACAGAGATTCCCTGTAGGAGCAGAAGAAGCCAGCCCGAAGAACCAGAGTGAGGAACAAGTCATTCTGCCTTCTAATTCCTGGCGTCAGATCTTCCTTAACTACAGCTCAGTTCCTCCCTCTGTTCCCTGTGGTCCCTGGGTCCTGTCCCCACCTTCTCTGGTGCCATGGTGGGTCTATTCTTACCCCATCATCACATGGCCTACACGGGACCTTATCACTTCCTCAGCCACTTCCCTCGCAGAAATTATTTCCCAAACTCCCTTTCTTATTTCCTTTTCCTGCCTCATAGTTGCCTGGGTTATCTACAATGCTGAACAGTTTCTTTTTCTTTAAATACCCTTTCCTAGCAAAACATACATTATATGTCAAATGACTAAACGTATTACAACAGAGGGTGTACTGATCAAATAGACATTTAACAGGGACCCTGGTTCCCAGTACCTGGGTGTTTTGATTTCCTCGCACAGGCCTTCAATGCTTCTTTCTATGTGGAAAACTGGCAGGACCTTGTTTCTATATTCAGTGCTTTTTAGGCCCTCAGCAGCACTATACTGCTATCTCACAGAACTCCAGAAACAGTGAGCAAGGGAAACTGTGCAGCCTATGGGTTTTTTTTCCTGCCCTTGAATATCCAGTGTATCTAGCATTTTCTTCTGATTCATATGGATTTTTCATGAGTTATCCTAATCCCCAAACAGTCCCTGAAGTTGGTGGCAATAACAGAGGTGGCAAACATGTACAAAGAAGAGGAATTGAAAATAGCTGAGAATATTAGGGTTAATGAAAGCAAACTGACAAGAAGGGGAAAAAGGGCCTTTCTGGAAGATTCTCCCCTAGACGTCAGTGCCAGGTAGAGATAAGCATCTGCTACATTACTCCTAAAACAACACAAGCTATTTTCATGAATTATCGGGTTCCTGGGAAGCCAGAGAATATTCTGGAAACAGAAAGGGGCCTTTTAGTGCTCTCTGTTGATTCTCCCTCAACCACTTACCTCAACTAATTTCCTTATGTGCTTGTTGATGACTGTGGGGTCCGGCTTTGGCATCACTCCTGATGCCCACTCCAGGGGTACCACAGGCTTGTTGGGTGTAGTCGGGGAGGTAGGCTGCTGACAGAACACATACACACATTTTTCAACATTAACTGAGGCCTTGGGCAACTAGAACTAGGGGCATCAAGGAAGACAAACAGGTTTTAATGTTAATCTGGCCAACAGAAACTTACATTTATGTAGTTATGTGGTTATACAGCTAGCATCCTCTGCTTATTCTATCTAATGTGTAACCACATACACATTTAGGAGTGCATTTTGTTTAGCAGCAGCCTAAATTCTATTACTTTAAACAGAAAAAAGAATGCTCATTCAAAAATCCTATCCAACTTCCTTAAACAGAAGAAAATTGCTCATGCAAAAATTCCCAAATATCATTAAATCTTTAAATATCTTCAAGGGCACTTCAGAAAGCTCATGGAAAAATGGACTTACAAGTTTATTTCAGTAAAATTTTTAAAATACATGCTCTTTTATAATATAGATTTTCATAATTGTATGAAAAACCTTCACATACATGAATTTCAAAAAATTTTTCTGTAAAAATAAACATTTTTAATCCTGTTTTCCATGAACCTTTTAATTATCTTCATATGTAACAATCCATCATGGATTTTTGTGTATGAGGTATAAAATATAAAACACCAGTTATCTGATTCTTTAGTATTTGGTTTTAGTGACAAATTAGTAGGTATATGCAGTAAATGGACATCAGGGCATGGCCAAGTTTATGTTCTTTGCCTGCACCTAGATTAACACACTTTAATCAATCCAACTGTTCTGCTAGTCATTAGGTCTCTCTGGCCCTCTTTGATGGACTCGCTTTCTCCACAGGTTTTTCCATGTTCTTTCAGGACATTTTCACTGAATAAAGTAGATGAGACTGTGAGAAGCCTGTCATGGCGTACAAGACAACACATATTTAACACAAACACAAACACCATCCTTTCAGGAGACCAGCTAAGACTGCGACACCTTGATGGCCTCTCCGTGGGACCCTCATACATCAGTATATTCATTAGTGTGCACATGTAAGCCTGTATTAGCAGGTTCCTTATTTGATAATGAATTGGTGATAAACATTTTTATAGGATGAATTGAGGAGTAACTGTACTTATTTAAATCCCTAAAAATGTGAGGCCGATGTTAAACAGGAACCTAAGTTACCAACAGGACCAGAAATTACCTGCAATTTGGATATGTTCTCTCACTCTCTGTCTGTCTCTCTCATACAGACACACAAAACACACACACACACACCATGGCTCTTTTTATGCAGATTTCCATCCTATTGATCTGGTAAAGGTATAACCAGATTATTACAGAAAATTCAGGAGCACCAAAAGATATTTTAAACTTGCAAGTAAATTACAAGAATCCTCAATATTTGTGAGACGCCATGAGGACTACCACCTCAACATAGCTCAATTCATCCATTAGATCATTCTGTTTCTTTCAATGATATCATAGCATTGTGAAGAAATAATCAATGTGGAACCAGAAATAAAGGTGGTGGCACTCAATCAGATTCGAAGATTTAAGTAATATTACAGCATCCCATAGGCACACACATCCATCAGTTATCATGGTTATTAAATAAAAATATTTGCTTTATTTCAATGCAAGTGTATTATTCTTTTGAGTGGTTACTAACTTATTAGAATACAGATATTTATTATGTTTTTTAGAACTAACCATTCTATAATTGAAGCCATTGGGTATTTCTTTTGACTAGGGGTGCCATGAAAAATTGATGAAATACAAAGAACCAGTGAGACACTGTAAATAGAAAACAGTATTTAGATTAGATCAGCCAGCACCAACGATGAGTACATTGCGGCTACAGGCCCTCAGCAAAAAGATCCTGACAGCAAATTATTTTCCAGTTATAAGCACATGTCAAATACGATGGCATTCCATTTAGAGAAGAGACAGGAAGAGATCAGGAAACATATTTTCTTTTCCTTTTTTCTTTTTAAAGTTTTATTTATTTGTTTGAAAGGCAGAGTTACAGAGAGGCAGAGGCAGAGAGAGAGAGAGGGCTTCCATCTGCTGGTTCACTCCCCAAATGGCCTCAATGGCTGGAGCTGGACAAATCAGAAGCCAGAAGCCAGGAGCCAGGAGTCTCCTCCAGGTCTCCCATGTGGGAGCAGGGGCCAAGCATTTGGGCCATCCTCTACTGCTTTCCCAGGCCATAGCAGAGAGCTGGATGGGAAGTGGAGCATCAGGGACCAGAACCAGCACTCATATGGGACGCTGGCACTGCATGCAGTGGCTTTACTTGCTACACCACAGTGCCAGCCCCAGGAAACATATGACAACCAATAGAAAGAGTTTCCTGGGTCTGATGAAAAGGTCTCCCAAAATTGGCAAAAATGTATCCTGAAAACAAAGCTAAGAGAATACACAGTAGACAAAAAGCGGGATGGTGGCAAAGTACAAGTGTTGGCTTAATCCCCCCACCAACTCATTGGATGTGTGACCTGTATAAGCCACCACACTCATCAGACCTGGTGTCCTCAAAAAGTTCATAAGATAAAACATGTGATACTCTGCCAGATGTCCAACAACTGGTAGCAATTCCAGTGCCCAGAAAATGTAAGAGTGTCAAAGTGGAAATCTCATGTGTACACATGCTCTAAAGCTTCACACACCATCCTGGTTCATCACATCAGAGCTAAGCAATGAAGGAGCAGAATACAATACTCTCTCCCCTCACCTTTTCTTTTTTTTTTTTTTTTTTTAACAAAAGTTGGCTCTGCTTTAGTAGTGCTGACTTTGAAAAGTCTGGGTCCTCACTCCTCCCTTTGCCTGTTCCCAGAAGATGGACTTCATGGGTGTGGCAGGACCAAGATGCACTTATGGAACCACTGCATGCATTATTTGTAGAATGATGCCACCGGGTCAGTGAGTGCCCCATCGGGGCTAGTGTTATTCTTTTCCCCCATGCCAATGAATCAGAATCACATTAAGTAATAACAGACTTAGGGGCTACAATGCCACTAACATGCAACAGAGTTCAGCTGAACAGGGCAAGGTAGCATGAGACCTTCATAAGAAAACTGCTCTCACCTGGGTGAGCCCTCAGAGGGAGAACCACAAATAGAAGGTCAATAATAAGACAGAATTATGTTCCTCCTCATTTTTAGCCTCTAATATGAAGAAATTATTCTTAAATGATTATGGTAAAATGGAAATTATATAGATTTTTTAAGTTCTTCAATCTTTAGAACAAAAATACACCATTGCATCAGCCAATCGCTATGACAAAAAGTGATCTTTAGCATTGATCATTGGAGAGAAAACAATACCTACTGATTTTGAATTTCTAGGCTCCAGCACCAGTGATAGTTTGTAAATATCATCTTCTGTGTGATAGAGGTCCAGAGAGAGCTGCAACAAAATTAAAAGATATAAACAATTATGCTGGATGACACATTTTTATGTACATTGTTAAAATATTTTGCAAATTGAATGCTTAAGTTCAATGCATAATAATCTGAATGAATGCAGAGCAATAAAGACAGGGCATGAAGAGCAGAGAATGAAACTCACAAAAAAGATAATTTAATCCTGGTATGGTCATCAGCATCAACACAAATCATTGACTTAATTTCTCAACAATAATTATTAAGTAGCTCCTAAGTGCTAAATCCTGAGCTACAGATGAGGAAGACTTGATGTTTACAGGCCAAAAGCATAAAATAAGATTGTAAATGTTGCCTTAAAGGTTTCATGAAAGGACTGTGATGATAAATGGGCAATTAAGTAGATCTCTATTTTAGAGCATTGAGCTAAGTCCTGGTGACACAAAATGGTATAAAACTGTTTCCTTCCCTCAAGGGCCTGAACATCTATTAGAATAAATAGGATCTGCTATGGTTTATATATATTTTTTGGGTGTCCCCCAAGCTTGGTCCCCAGGATGCCCCTATGAGAGATGGTGAATCTTTGAGAGACAGGTGGAGGGTTCTTAGATCATTGGGAGACATGCATTTGAAGGGATTGAGGGACCTCATTTGGTGACATAAACTCTTTCACATGCATTCCTGCCATGGGGTGCCACCATCTGCTGCCCTCACCAGTGGCCAAATCAATGAGACCCCTCTGAATCTCAGACTTTGAACCTCCAAAACTGTGAGCTGAAGAATAACATCTTCTCTTTACAGAGTTAGCTGCCTCTGGTATTTTGTCATAGGGATGAAAAGCTGAGCTAATACAGAATCTGAGCATTAAAGACGTATTCACACCAATAAAAGGTAGAACCTTCCTGCTGGGAAATAAGATGCCCCACTCTAAACGTCACAGGAATCTCTCAGGGAGGCAGCAGAGTAAAGCAGGAGAGCAGAGACACTGGAGTGAGGCAGGCCTGGGTTCAAACACTGAGCCTGGCCCTGGCAAGCTCTGTAACCTTGAGCAAGTTACTCCTCTGATGCTCAGATTCTCCCTTTTTTTTTTTTTTTTTTTTGACAGGCAGAGTGGATAGTGAGAGAGAGAGACAGAGAGAAAGGTCTTCCTTTGCCGTTGGTTCACCCTCCAATGGCCGCCACGGCTGGCACGCTGCAGCTGGCGCACTGCGTTGATCCAATGGCAGGAGCCAGGTGCTTCTCCTGGTCTCCCATGGGATGCAGGGCCCAAGCACTTGGGCCATCCTCCACTGCACTCCCGGGCCACAGCAGAGAGCTGGCCTGGAAGAGAGGCAACCAGGACAGAATCCGGCGCCCCGACCGGGACTAGAACCCGGTGTGCTGGCGCCGCAAGGTGGAGGATTAGCCTAGTGAGCCGCGGCACCGGCCCCAGATTCTCCATTTCTAAAACTGGAATTATACAGCCCCTACTGAAATGGATTTTGATCAGACTCAAATGAAATCATGCACATAAAGGACATTTCACAGGATCTGATACACAGTTAAATCTCAAGAAATGCTCTTCGGGGTTGTGGATGTTATTATTATAATTGTTGATAATTTTATTATGATGATGATAATGCATAGGGCCAATGGTGACTGAAATAAGGACAGATTTATGGAGGCATTTGTGAACTGGAGCTAAACTGGTAAGACCTGGACAAATAAAGAGGGAGGGGACAAAGATTAGAAAGTATAAATAAAATTGTAAAGCCTTAAAATGCCTGTTCCCAATCACTTAAAACATAAGTTTGAAGTTGAAAAGAATTCCCACACAAGTCCTTCCGTGCTAAGACACCTGCTGAATCACACCTTTCATCAGCAACGAAGATAACCAAGTGTTGGATCTTTTCTTTGAGCTTTTAGGCAAGAAAAACAAATTTTTCCTAACATATTTTGTCAAAAGACAAAGTCTTAATGTATAAGAGTCTGGAGTAACAGGGAAGAGAAAAGAGGCAGAAGCAAGAGAAAACTCAGAGGTAAGGGATGTTTTTCACGGATTTATTATCTTTTTTGTTCTACTTCTTTTAGAACAGAAATTGGAATCATAAAATTTAATTTTTAATCATTTATTCATTGAACAAATATCTATCAAACAGCAAATACTCCCATGTGGCAGGGATCATTCAAGTCACTGTTCTTCCAGCTACTGAACATTTTTTGAAATATTTATTTATTTATTTGAAAGGTATAGTTACAGAGACAGTGTGTGTGAGAGAGAGAATGAGAGATCTCCCATCTGGTGGTTCACTCCCCAAATGGCCACAAGTGCCAGGGCTGGGCCAGGTCAAATCCAGGAATCTAGAACTCCATCCAGGTCTCTCATGTGGGTGGCAGGGGCCCAAAGCGCTGTGGTCATCTTCTACTGCTTTCCCAGTTGCATTAGTAGGGAGCTGGATTGGAAGTGGAGCAGCTGGGATTCAATTGGGCACTTTTATGGGATGCCAGTGTCACAGGCCATGGCTTAATCCACAGTGCCAAAGCACTGGCTCCTGAATAGTTTTAAATTAACAACATCAAATATCAGGTCTTCCATTGTTTTATACTGTGCTATCTAAAATTTTTTTTAAAGATTTAGTTATTTTAAAGACAGAGTTAGAGAGGGAGGGAGGGAAAAAGAGAGGGAGGGAGAGAATCCATCCCATCTGCTGGTTCACTCCCCAGATGGCCACAATGGCCAGGGCTGGGCCAGGCTGAAGACAGGAGCCAGGAGCTTCATCCAAGTCTCCTACATGGGGCAGGGACCCAAACATTGCAGCCATTTTCTGCTGCTTTCCCAGGCCATTAGCAGGGAACTGGATTGGAAGTAGAGCAACAGGGACATAAATTGGGGCCCATACGGGATGCCAGTGTCACCGGTGACAGCTTTACCCACTATGCCACAATGCCATCCCCAAGGTTTGTTTTTAAACAACACAAATTGACTTGACTATAAAATTGCCCAGGCATCATTTCAGGGGCTGAAATTCTGTGCTCACAAGGATTGCACATTGTATCCACTCTCCTGAACAGCAATCACTGGCACCTCCAGAGGCTCTGTGTTCTCATAGGAACCATCCTCCTGTTCATGACACAAAAGCGTGCAGGTGGGGTGGGGGATGCTGGCTGAGAGGCTGGTCTCACATCACTGTAGCTGCAGCTCTAGCTCCTGACTCAGCTTTAAAGTTCTGCATGACAGGGAGCCAAATCACATTCATACAGGAGCACAAGGACACGAGAAGCCTAAAAACTGTAGAATAATCCCTGATAAAAGAACTAGCATAGAACCAAACAAATCCTGAGTTTTCTCTAATTATTAAATTTATTTTTAAGCCTGGAGTGTAGTAGTGACAACAAAGATATACTTTCCATCCCTTCATCTCTTGCGTGCCTTCTCTTCCAGCATAAGGAAATTTGGGGACTGGGCATCTGACCCAGCAGTTAATGTGCAGCTATTTCTATGTTAGAATGCCTGAGTTCCAGTCTTGGCTCCACTGCTGATCCCAGCTTCCTGCTAATGCACACCTTGGGAGGCAGCAGAGGATGGCTCAAGTAGTTGGGTTCCTGCCACCCAAATGGTAGACATGGATTGAGTTCCAGGCTCTTGACTTCAGCCTGATCGGGCCCTGGCTGATGTGGGCATTTGGGGAATAAATCAATAGGTCCTTCCCTGACCCCCATCTCCCAAACAAATAAGTGAAAACTAAATTTTAAAAAGTTGAAGTAGAATGTGCAAAAGGGGCATTTTGATTCACAGTGTTTTATTTCATAAAAAGTCTTTACATATGTAATTCACTTGAGGACCTTTCTTCTTTGCACTGTTGTAAGAAAAATATGTGATGATAAACAGGATCTGAGCATCCAGGAGGCAACAGGGAGGGGTGTGGTCTGCAATGAGAAGAAGACAGCCACTCCTCAGCTACAGCAGAGGTTGTCAGCCTTTGGACCCTGAACTGCCAGATCTTTAGAACCTGGAGTTTTATATGAAATTTCCCATTTTTTAAATAAGGGTAACTAGCAACAAAGAAATTTTTAAGATTCCACATGGGACAAATAAAACACATCTGCTGTGGGCAGCTGCCCTCCATTCTGCTGGGATCCAAGCCTCCTGAAAGCAGCAGCTCATCTGTCCTTCCCAACTCTGGATCCCATTCCCAGCTGGCAGCCCCACACCATGGACTTTATGATTTATAAAGAGAGAAACCTAAGTGACTTCTTCCTTCTGGAGTCCTTGCTGTCGGGAGCTCATCTGGACGTGGCAAGCATGTAGCTTTTCCTCCTGACTCAGCGTCCACGTCTTGTGAGGAATGGCACGGGCACCTGGTGGAGCTGGGATGACAGCAGCACCAGAACATTGAGGTAGAAACCCAAGTGAGCCACACACTGAGCTGGGGAGAGGCTCTTGCAAAAGACATAGAACGGCCTTGGGTATTTCCCAGTGAAGCGGACAGATAACTGACCCAGTGATGGAAATAACAGGGTCTTCTCCAAATGTCTGTTTTCTACTTATTAGTGCTATGAACTTGGGGAAGTAAAAAAAATCTTGAGTCTCAGTCTCTTGATCTATGAAATAGGACTCATAAATAGAGCTGCCTCACAGGACTGTGGTGAAGACGAAATGAGTTGATTTGTCTCTTGGGTTTTGTTTAGAAAGCCACAGATACACAGTATGGCTTCCATTCAAGGCAGTAGCCTAATGTCACTCTGCCTATCTGTGAATATAAAGCTGCCCTCAGGGACACCTCTGCCATCTCTGCTTGCCCAGCCACAGTCTTAATCCTACCTCAGACTGCCTCTGGGCTTAGGGACCTGCCCAAAGAAGGAACTGTCCTATTTCCTACACACCCTTGTTTAACTCGAGTAGTTTACAACGGGATCTCAGGAATATTTGCTCTTACCTAACACATATTGAGTGTGGTTGTTTGACAAATATTCCCATCTACTGTCTCAGGCTGTTGCATTTATTATCCTATCCTTTCAGCAAAGACTATTGCAGATCTAGTTTTTGTGCTAGGCTCTAACTTGCCTTGAATATTTATTATAAAACAAAGCACACTTGCTCATCAAATTACCTCTACTCACCATTTTTGCAACTGTTCTTCTTTTTTTTTTTAAATATGACTGTAAAAACACAGGGGCTTTCCAGTTATTTGCATGTACTCAGAATGGTAAAAGTAACCGATAAGGCTAAAAATACTATGAAAAAGAATCAGACTGTTTCATACATCTTGAACAGAAGCATCAGATCTTAGACTCCTGGTACAATGAATTGGAATCACAATGGGAATGTCTACACCAGATCTTCCCCTAAAGGGGACAAATGCTCACCGCAGTATGGTAGAGTGGTTCTCCTTCCTTCACATGTCTGGGGCTGTCCAAGGGGGCTAAGGATAAACAATAAAAATAACAGACACAGTCCCTGCTCTCCTAGATTTTGTCCTGTAATTAACTCCTATCACTATGCATCCGTGAAGAGTAAGGGAAATACATAATGTTTAACTCTTACAGATGTAAAGTAAGTAAATTAGATGTCACCAATACACCCACATTAGACAGCCAATGTCCATGTGAGGCAAACCTTCGGAAAATCAGAACACCCTAGGCTAGGATGCATACATCTGCCATTTGCAAGCCTTTTGTCCTCTATAAATCTCAGTTTCTTCCTTTGTACAGACAGAAGGTGCAAGGATGAAGCTACACTGACTGCCCTGCCCAGGCTGCATCACTGGGCATTTGTGTGAATTTATTAGATAAATGTTTGTGAAAAGTATCATGAAAACTGTCATCAATTGCTACAGAAAGTTTAGGCACTCTTCTATAGTTTACTACACAAAGTAGGTATCTAATAACTTAAGAGTTCTTATTTTCTATCCTCCAGGGCTCTCAGTCATATCTTGGTTACCTCACTTGGGGCGATGTTTAGATGAAAACAATCAAGGCAAGCAGAACCTGACTTGGAGTCTTTGTGTAAAATGAATGCCGCTTTAAACACCATGCTGTGGACGTGCCTGCATGCATGTAGGCACTGCAACAGAGCATCCAGCTCTGACCCAATCATGCCTGTGTGTCATAAAATGGCTACTGGGCTCCAATACACACATAATGCACATCTCCACAGTCCTCAAATTGAGGAGATTAACTCCCCAGTGGTCAGGAGGAGGGAAGGTAAATCCCTGTGCTTTGACATTTCTCCTGGGTTGTTGGGAAACAAGGATGATTTTGGCTTTAAACAGAAACTGGCTTGATGCTCAACCAACAGACACAGGACTATGCTGCCGTGAGGAGTCACTGGGCCCATGCCACAGAACTGGGCTGACACTTGGTTCCTTACACTCAGGACTCCACCATTCCTTACCTCTAGAATCATAGAATCTTAGCACTGGGAAGAGGCCTCATGACTGACAAGCAAGCCCTTTGAAAAAGCCAGATTCAGGGGCTAGTTAGCAACAAGACAAAACGAAGCAACTGCAGAGGGCTGAAAGCAGGATCTCAGATCTCAGATCTAGGATCTGGGGAGTCTTCCACATTTTCCTTTAATACTTTTGAGAGGAGAGGAAATGAGAGGAGACGAGAGAAAAGAATATCTTTTCTTCCCAGCAAAGATGAGTGATTTCTCAGCTCTCAAGTTCTGATTTTACAATTACACCCTGAAATGTCTTTCAAAATCCTCTAATTTTTCTCTCTCTACTTTACATCATGTTGTTTACTGCATTTATCATTCAAAATGATTTTCCTACTCCATTATTATCCTGTATCTAGTGACACAAGATAATAATATTGTATCTAGTGATACAAGATAATAATATCCAAGTACACGTAGGTGCTCTGGGAAGTTCCGTTTGACATCACAGATGTAGCCTGGACACAGACGCTGGAAACAGAGGCCACACGTTGAGATCACTATGCAGACATCACCTGCGTCTGTGGGTTTGCAGTCTGATTGGGACTGCAGCTCTGGTCACTTGCTCATGGAAACAAATTTACATGGCAAATGTTTAATAAATGCAGGTGCTTGGATTATTATGAGTCTTTCTCCTCAATACAGAATGCCTGTGTGTTTATTATTTGTCACACTAACTCAGCTACAAGAGACCTGCATTTCAGGTCACTTCTGCTTTATACCCAGCATGCAGCTAGCATTATGGTTTATACTTAAGGGTCTGTTTTTTGGCAAACAATTATGTGCTCTAGGAACAGTTTTCCAGAAGGTCTAGGAACCAGGCTTCTATTCCAATGCAGCAGTCCTGGGGGATTTAGGCTGTCAGAGCTTAAGATGAGTTATTGGTTTCATTTTCCACACCCATAAAAGGAAAATATTCAATGCAGTGTTGCAGCCAAGCTTCAGTTGCTACGGGGTTATAAACCCAAACAGGGAAGTTGTGACCTCACTTATTGAAGCAGGGGTGAGAAACGTTGCTTATGCTTTTCCCCACAAAGAAGTAACCAGTGCAAAATGTTCTCCTTCACACACCTGTTATATCTGAAAGTTCTGAGACCTGGAGACCAGCTAAATATGTCTGCCACAAATGCCAAAATATGTGATGGCAGGTAAATCACTTTTGCTGACTCCCATCACTCCAAAGTACAACATTCACTTTATCTATTGAGTTTCTAAATATGCTTGGTACTGTGAGAGTTGTTAAGGATGTGATGCATAAGACAGGCAAACAACAACAACAACAAATCTAATGCAAGGCATGAAGTGCAAGGACAACACATGTGACAATGTGTTACAGCTGTGGAGGGGAAGACAGAATGCTCCAGAAAGATAGAGGTTATTGAATGTGAATTAGCCACATGGATGGGCAGTGGAAGAATTTTCCCCAAGAGTTTGCAAAGGCCAGGAGGCAGAAGGCAGCTTTTCATGGTGGAAAGTACAAGAAGTCCCATATCCCTCAAGGGCTGGTATAGCATGAGAGTGAGAGCACACAAGGCTGATCCAAGACTGAGTTCTGAAGAGTCTCGGATAACAGTCTGAGAACTACATCTTGGTGACTGGGGTGGGGGAGGTGGGTGGTAGGAACAGGGAGATTATTATGAGGAGGTCCTTGCCATATGTTATGTTGCAACTAAAGCAGTGCAGTGAAGATAAGGAGAAGCAGGGGATTTGAGATCACAGAGAATGAGCTGATTTGCTGGACTAGTGTGAGGAAGGGAGTGAGTGGAGAGAATGGATCTGGAGGGGCCTCTCTAAGAACTCCAGAAGTGGGAGCTCTAAAGGCAAGGCTGGGCCCCTCTGAACAAAGAATTCTTTTCCCTGAGGTTATAGTCTCCAGTCATTCTGGTTATGGGTTTGGGATTTCTTTTCCCACATTCTCTGAAATTTCTTCCCACCTACTGACCCTGAAATCATTTTTCCCCCAAAGCAAATTGCTGTCATACATCTTCCTGTGCCCCCTGGAAAGTGAGGTACAGAAGGATTATTTAACACCAACTCTGCCCCTTGGAACTCACCGTGAGCAGGTTGATCAAATCCATGTTGGGTTCTAAGTGGTGAGAGGCATTCTGCAGGGACACCAGTTCACTCAGGGTAACGGACAGCTGGTGCATTTTTACAATGTTCACTTTGTTCTCCTCCATCCAGTCTGGGAAAATGACATGGACCGCTATCAAGTCTTTCAAGTGGACTCCAAGGATGGGGATTTTGAAGCCATCGCAGTCGGCAAAGGACTTGCGGTAATTGCAGTAATTGCCATTGGAGGAGACCAGCTCTGTCATTTCATTCCAGTTCTGAGAACAGATGGAAAAGAAGAAGTTTCAAACAGCTTTCCCTTCTGCCCGCTCCCAGACCTTGCAATGTGTGGCTAGGAAATTCCTCAGCTACCAAGAGAAGTATCAATTGCACCAACATTGATGCAAGGAAATATTAACCAGGAAAAAGAAGTTAGAAAAATGTACTAGGCCTGGCTATGAGTCCGACAGCCCGTCCCAATCTTCTTCAATGGAAATAGCCTGCACCTCGGCCCACCTACAAGGAATGCTGGGGTATCAAGTGGCATCATGTATACTTGAGTATTTTGTGAAAGCATTACAATCCACAAATTCAAGCATGCAACATAGTGAAATGTCCTATTTGTTCCAAGAAAGTTGCATTTCAGATATAACTTGAAGGTTAATCTGGGACAGAATGGGGTAGGAAAATTCACACTGAGGTGTGAGATAGCTGTGGGTTTGGACTCCATGCAGACTAGAAATCACTTAACTTTCTTGGACTTTGTCATTTTCCTTTTCTATAAGAAAGAGGAGTTCAAATAATAATTTGTAAAGACACCATGGTGATTCCAAACCACTATCAGCTTTTTTCAGTTTCTTATTCTTCATAATATTTAAAAGTTGTTTTTATGGGGTGGGTGTTTGGCCTAGCAGCTAAGCCACCAGTTAAGATGCGTGCACCCCATACCTGGCTTCACTTCTCACTACAGTTCCCTGCCAATGCAAACCTTGGGAAGTAGCAATGATGTCTCAAATAATTGGGTGACAGTCAGTCATGTGGGAGACCTGGATTGTATTCCTAACTCCAAGCTTCAGCCACAGTCAGGGGTCCTCTGACAGCATTTGGGGAGGGAAACAGAAGATGGGAACTTTTTCTCTGTATCTGTCTCTTGGCCTATCAAATAAATATTAAATGTATCAAGTATTATTTATCAAATAAATATTAAATTTCTTGAAATTTTTACTTGAAACTTAGTACAAAGCTAAAAGCATATAAACCACATAATGAGTCCCATTACTCCTACAGTGAGTGCAGAGTCTGGGGTCAGTCACTCTTCTGTAGCTTACTTCCTCTTATTTACATGGACAAGTCAGGGTTGGTTGCTAAGCAACAATCAGACCTTCCTGAGAAATCCCATATCTGATCATACTACTCTTTCTCAAAGCAGCCATGTGACCCAAACAGCGGTTTCCATGCCCAGAACCAAGAAGAGGTTCTGATTTAACATCATAGTCATTCCAGTGCCCTGGTTTGGGACTGGTTTAGGAGCACAAAGTTAAGCCAATCAGTACATTGTGTGCCTTCGGACACTGGGATAGTTCCAGTGTAGATACAGGACCTGAGCTGGAACAACTGCCTACAAAGAAGGTCTTTAATTCCATGGTGACAGGGATGAAGTAAGAAGTCTTCCCTAACACCAATTTCCATGAACAAAGAAAAGTAATTTTCCTGTTGCCTGGAGACAGCCCAAGAAAGAGGGAAGCCAGTCTAATTAAAATCAACCAACCATGGTAAAAACGCTGATACTCAGAGGAAGCCAGAGCACCTGAGCCGGTCTCTGATCGGCCCACACCTGGAATCTGCTCTACCTCTGGACTTGCAAGCATGTTAAACGAGATATATTTCTTTACTGTTTAATAAACATAGAAAATTTTTTCTTTCTTTTTTATAACTTAAAACTAAGAGTCCTATTCATATAGTAAAGTAAATTTTGATAAGGGAAGCTTTTCACAAAGATGAAATGCTCCTTTTGGCTCAATAAGTATGAATGATTGATGTTGCCTGGGAATAAATACAGCAAAAGAGCTCAGTTTGGGAAAGGAACAGTGTAGTTTTAAAAATACACTTTTTTTTCTGATAAGTCAGCTGCAAGTCTGAGAATTTCTACACAAGGCTATATCTTCCTTTCCACCACAATGAACATAGAGATATGAATAGAGCAGGCACTCAATAACTTTATTTCAGAAGGGTAAGAGAGGACCTATTTCTAACCTATTCATTTTTTAAAAGATTTATTTATTTACTTGAAAGAGTTACACAGAGAGAGAAGGAGAGGCAGAGAGAGAGAGAGAGAGGTCTTCCATCCGATGGTTCACTCCCAAATAATCACAATAGCCGGAGCTGTGCTGGTCCAAAGCCAGGAGCCAGGAGCTTCTTCCAGGTCTCCCACATGGGTGCAGAGGCCCAAGGACTTGAGCTATCTTTACTGTTTCCCAGGCCATAGCAGAGAGCTGGATCAGAAGAGGAGCAGCTGGGATTTGAACCGGCGCCCATATGGAATGCCAGCACTGCAGGCGGCAGCTTTACCCACTACACCACAGTGCCGGCCCTTATCCTATTCATCTTGTGCCATATGTATATATCACAACTCCTATCCTATAGTAAGCACCAAGTAAATAGTTGTTAAAATATTTACAACTACAGTATTTTAATGGTATGCCAAAGCATTTTTGTTTTTTAATTTGAGAGGCAGAGAGTGAGACAGAATGGGAGGGAGGGAGGGAGGGAAGGAGATAGAGAGAGTGAGTATGAAAGCGAGGGCATTCTCATCTGCTAGTTCACTACCAAAATGACCACAATGGCTGGGGCCACAGCTGGGAGCTGGGACCTCAATCCAGGTATCCTACATGGATAGTAAGGACCCAATTAATTGAGCCATCAGTGCTGCCTCTCAGAGTCTGTGATAGTGGAAAGCTGGAGTCAGGAGCTAGAGCTGGCGGTCAAACCCAGGTACCCTGATGTGGGACAGCGACATCTTAATCACTAAACCAAAAGCCTGCTCTGTGAAAGCATTTTACTGATGCACTTACTTTCACCTCTGACCTATTTTTCCAGGCAGACTCAGCTAGTGTGGCTGTTCCCTCCTCCCAATTTGTGCCTCGTGTGTAATCAACCATTGGTTTCAGAGAAAAACTTTCCCATTCAGAGTAACATTTGTTAGAATACTATACCTAAACAATTTACAACGAAATTTTTAGTTGGAATTAGGAACAAATCCACTGTACCTTGGTAACTTCTGAAGAAAGATGGGAATGAGTCTCTTTGAGACGTGAAATGGAACTATGGCTGAGGCCTCCTACCACCGCCATCAGGGTATTAAAATTTTTGAGCTGAAGGAGCTTCTGCAATAAAAATGTTATCATCAATGCTTTTTATGGATTTGAACTACTCTGAAATTTCTGAACATAATTTCAATAACAAAAACCTAGGAAAAAATAACATCAATTTAAGAGGCACAAACAGAATCCATTAGAAAAAGACATCCATTATTTCACAGAAAAATAGCTGCTCTGAATTCTTCTAAGAATTCCTTTTTTAAAGCAAGCTTCTTGCATGAGAAAAGTATGATTTGTTCATTAGATATCTATGAGTAGTTTCATTGTCCAATGACTTCATCTTGTGAACACCAACTTCCCTCAATAGAATGATTGAGCACCCAGACTTCAAGAAGCCCAGTCTGGTTACCAGACATACCTTTGCAACATTGATAAACTTTGTGATCACTTCTGCCCTTTGCTGTGGGGTTGGTTTGCTGAGAACCATCAATTGGACCCACTTCGAGATGCCATTAAATAAAGCAATAGATCTCTCCAAGGTTGGGTTATTCTCCAGGCAGCCATGGATAACATAGCTTTGGTAATCAGTGAACTAATAAAGAAAGATTAAGGGATTCTGAATTACAAGGATGCTTTTTCAAAATTAATATGTTGCATAGAAGAGGTGAGATAGTATTTGTAACAACAGTGTCTTTCATGTCACATTTATAATGGCACCTTACAAGTTTGAATATAGTTATACCTTTAATATGTTCATTTGCAACATTTCAAATCCCATTCCCCATTAAACACAGACAGACACATACATCACAGTGTTGGAGGAACAGGATGAGCTCAGTTGTACTCTATTGAATCCCAAATGTACTGGGTCATAAGTTCCATCTAGGATATTTACTAAACTGCAAGAATACCTAACACCTAAAAGACCATCATCCCAAGAGGAAAAACTTAAGAAATATCCATTCTCAACACAACACTGGTGATTCTGATAAACAGAGAAGTTTCAAATACAATGGCATACAATAAAAAAGAGGAAATGAATTGAAATATAATTATCAGAAATCACAATCTTTTTGTAAAGTTATTTCAAGAAAAAAGAACAGATAAAAATATCAGTGAAGTAAGGCAACTATTTAGTAAAATAGACACATTCTGAGAAAGTTAGCATTGACCTCAGCAAAGACACACAAGACTTCTACCATACAAACAGGGCAGGGATTCCCTCCTGTGGCCTGCCTGTGGGAAATTACTGAGGTCCTCTCCAAATAGATTACTTAAGAACTAGTCTTTCAGAAAGTCATGCTTCTAACCAAGATGGTCTTCTTTGCAAGCAACAATGAAATTCATTCCTTAGTATCTTGGAAAAGGAGGAGGGCAAATTTCCCCAGAGCTTGGTGAGACAAAGCAAAGCAGTTGGCTGACAAAGCCAGAGTGGAAATAGAATCATAACAAGTAATTAAAGACAAGGCAGCTAAGAAAAGCCCACAGTGGTGGAAGAAAAGGAATGTAGAGAGAAAACAAAGTCCTATCAAGACAGAAGAAAAGAAAAGCTAAATTCAGGATTTCTGTACCTAGGAAAGAAACAAGCTGATGTTGAGATTAACCTTAAAGCCTACAATTCCAATTTTCAGCCTACGCCCGTAATTAGGCCTTTATACAAATCCCAACCTAAATACATTTTTTCCCCCAGAAACGAAAGGCCTAGCAAAACATGTTGACTTGGGAGAAGTCAATGAAGCTAAATAAACCTTGAATGGTTAAATCTCCACTGAGTATTTTAAAAAATCATGCTTTAATCCTATGAAAGGAGACATTGAAAATAGCAACAGAAATACAGCTCCTGAGCCATAAAATAAAGACAGGATAATATTTATCTTTGGTTAAAAGGGATTGTTCCTGTGAATTAAGGGCACTTTTCCAGCAGAGCACAGTGACAGAGGCTGCCAACACTTTAGAGTATGAAAATGCGGCTCTTGGGAAAGTTGGCAATGGTGGTTGTTATCCTTGGAAGAATCAATGTCAAGTTCCTTACTGAGATCCTTCTAAAAGATTTATGCTCCAGAAAAGTGAGGTGCTCAGCCAATTCAATGGGCTCCAGATGGTCAAACAGCAGACAGGCTTTTCCCTTCTTGGATACTTTTTTCCTCTGAGTGACTCTTCTCATCCAGTCATAGGAAGGACTATAAAAGAAGAGTGAGTCTGGTCAATGTGCTGAAAGCCCATTTCAGTCAATGGAAGTTATTAACCTACTGACTCTGTAACTCTTGGCCTGCTTCCAGGAGCTTGTACAAAATACACGCCTTGTCTTTTGTATTTGAAGAGAAAACCACTGACCCATTGCCAATAGAACATAAACTTTGAGTTGTTTTTCCAGACAGAGTGGGTTTGCACTGATCCATCCAGAATCTTTTACTTGGTCTTCCTTATGACCAAGCAAGATCTGGATCATAAAGGAAAGGTCAGGGTTAGGAATATAAATTTGAGAGTTTATCAGCATATAGATGGTGATTTAAGATGCATGGGGACCACTAAATGGTGTGGTTCTCACACTTTAGCATAAAATGAATTATCTGGAAAAACTTTTTATAAAGACAGAGCCCTGGACTTCACTGCTAGAGATTTTGATTTATAAGGAATGAATCTGAATAATATCTATTTTAAACAAACATCCCTGATGATGCCTGGATTATTCACTTTTAATCACTCTTAAAGAAGTATTCTAGAAAAATAGAGTATGAATGCCTAAGACTCAAGAGTGTACATTTGCAAGATGGATAACTACATTTAGGATCATCACATAGTGTTTTCCACACAAAGTTAGCTAGATAGGAAACTCACCTAAGTAGCACCGAGTTTCTAATTACCTAGCTCTCCAGTTCCTCATGCAACTATCGTCAACATTTGTACAACCTCAGGCCAACCTTAACCTTAGAAGCACCATAGTACAAGGCTTCTCAAATGTGAATGAGAATATGAACCCTCTGGGGACCCTATTAAAGTGCAGATTCCAACCAAGCAGGTTTTAGCAAGGGGCCCAAGATTCTGCATTTCTAGTGAGATCCCATGCAAGGCCAATGCTGCTGATCGGCAAAACACACTCTAAGTAACAAGGGCAGAGGGGCATTAACCGGATTCAAATTCAGTAACTAAATATTGAATATCTGTCGTGTGCCAAATACTTTCACATGCTGTCTTACATACTCATTAAGTGCTTATAACAGTCCTAGGAGAAAGGTAGTATCCCATCTTATAACTAAAGAAACTGCAGCTTGGGAAGATAAGTGTACCTAGAATGGCAGCACTCATTTCAACAAGGCTTTCCTGAAAGAATTAAACCTTAATTCTAGAACAGCATGGATTCGGTAATAAGAGCGCATCACAACTCCTTCCCCAGAGCAGCAGACCCATCAAGTCCGAAAGATAGTAGTGCCACTCTCACATGCTGGATATATCGATGAGGCTGATGTGTTTTTCATATCCCAGTTGACTAGCTACTTCTCGGAACTCTTCAGTCATACGAATCAAACCAAGATCCAAATTGAACTCTGCCGGGAACTTGAGAATCCAGTACCTAAAAGCCATAAAATATTGTTGACTGCTGGAAGATTCCAAGTCGAACCTCTATGGAAACCACTATACCTTTTACAGACTACATTTAACATACATTGACAGCCCACACTTCAGATGAGCCATGTTCTATGCCTGGCCCATCCCGTGGAGTCTCTCTCTGCCTCCTTCACAAGGTCCACCTTCCACTAGGAGCCTCTTCATGACTCTTTCTAGAACCATCGCTGAGAAACAAGCTTTTCCTCCATTAGTGACAAATAGGTAGGAGTGTTTGTGGGAAGGGAGTAGAAGAAAGTAAATTCACCTAAGAGCCAATTTCATTCCCTAATCACATTGGCCACTATTTGATTTCCAGCTCAAATGATAAATGCTTCCTTCCTCCCTCTTCCAATTTTAACAAAATAAAAGGGGGATGTGAGCGGACTTTATTGTCAAACTGCTTCTTGGGAAAAAGAAAGTTGTCAACAATTCCAGAACTAGAAACTACAAAAAAAAAAAAAAAAAAAAAAAAAAAAAAAGACCTGTAAGTGTATTTACCTCATGAAGTAGCAGATCTTTAATCGAAAGTCATCACAGCTTTCTCCATCAGCATTGCGATACGTACACCAGTTAAAGAAAACAGTCCTTGCACCTTGTTTCCTTTGCAAATATCTGTAGCCGTTTCCTCAATTTATACAAATGCCTAATAAGAGGGCCATACTGGAGACAATTGGGTTACCGGTTGAACATTCTTAATCCAAAAATCTGAAATGCTCCAACATCTGAAACTTGCGAGTACCAACAACACAAGTAGAAAAGTGCTTACCTGCCCTGTAACAGGCATAGCCAAAACAGGTGCACTAAACATATTACATAAAATTACCTTCAGGCTTTATGAATCACGTATATGTGAAACATAAATGAATTTTGTGTTTAGACTTGGGTCTCATCCTGAAGATAGCTTGTTGTACATGCACAACTATTCCAAAATCCTTCCCCCATAAAAAAATTCCAAAATCTGAAACATTCTGGTTCCAAGCATTTTGCATAGAGGACACAAATTTATATGAGGGGGCTTCAAAATATACATAGAAATTTCACATTATCTTTTAAGTCCACTTTTCATGAGTGCCTTGAATGCTGTTGTTTATGAACACTCAAACAGGGGAGAGAGGTGAGTTTTGACAGCTTTAGCACTGAGTAACTGAAGCTTGATTTGTTAATTCCCTTGGATGACCACCCACTTTTTGGTCTGGAGGAGTAGGCACTTACAGAATTAGTTTTACCTTCCTGAGCACATACCAAACAATAGCTACCAACCATAATTAGAAACACATTGTCCACAGTACCTAATTAAAATTGATACTTAGAAGAACATTTTTGCCAAAAAGACTTTTTGTCCAAATATTTAGGATTAATGCCTATATAAGAACTTTATAAAAACTTTAACACTTCAAAATGTCATTTTTAGGTATATTATTCTGCAACTTGTATTATTCTTAAGTCTGTTTTTTCACCCTCCTTTTAACAAATATTTCTTAAATGCTTGCATGTGCCAGACACTTTGGATATGGAATGAGTAAAGAATCTGAATGGAAGAGAATTTTTAAAAATTCTGATTCACAGGTAGTAGTCATAATTTTTATAATCTGTATTTTTCCTGTGTTTTAGACTTTACTATACTTAAGCATACCTTTATGTTTGGGTTTCATACATCAGAGGACATACTAAGGGTGGGAATGCAATTTCGGGCAGCTGTTTGAAAATGTTTGGGTCCCCATTAACAGTGGGACAGACCCAAGGGGACCTTGAACCAGAGAGGAATAGGATCTTGCTCAGTTCCAGGGACCTCAGTGATGGTGAATTGGCCTTTGCCCTTTCTAATATCCCCTTCTGCTCTGAGGTTGTACAAGGAAGAAGCAAAGGAGTAGAAAGTGGAGAAAGCTTAAACTGAACAGGCAGAACCCCTGCTGGGTGCAGGCAGCCTTGTCAAGCCCTAACAACACTAAGTGGACCATTTTGGAATTGCCCTGCCCTGTGAGGGAACTCACTCATCTACTGGGTCCCCTGGGCTTCCAGAAGGCAGAGCTTATAGCCACCAACATTGGAGACTATAAAATAAACATTAGATCTCACAAAATAAATCTCCTTGCCAATTTAAGACTGCATTTTCAGTAATTTAGCATTCAACCACTTTTCAGGACTGTAGTATGTACAAAAGTGGTGGATGGCTAAAAGCCCTCATTATAGAATGGGCTTTCTGATTATTTGGGTATTTTTTTAAAGTCAGAAGAAAATATAGAATTAGTCTCAATCAACAAATTATCAGAAACTTTCTAAGATGTTCACTGTGTCCTGCTAGCAGGGAAAGATGTGAAAATGAAGTTGCTGTTTGCCTGAGACAGGACATATGATTTAGGCTGGCATTTCCATATGTCTAAATAGCATCCCTTATGCCTACCATTCTGTCTTCCTAGAAGGAATAAATTAGGTCTTGAGTTAGTGCTAAATATTCTTTCATTGTACTAACAGAAGAAATGTTTAAGAGAAGTTAAAAATATTCAGCCTAGAGCTCCTGCTTCATTTTACATCTTAGAGATTATTTTCAAGTAGAGCCAAAGTATCCAGATGGATAGTCAAGTATTTGGTCCATCCTCCAGATGTTTTGTCTAGAAATCTATATGTATTCACAAAAGAGCTGAAAAACTGACTGAAGACTGTTTATTCCTCTTAATTTACTGGCTTGGATAGACATTATATCTAAATACAGAACTTGATTCATGACTGTAAAAATTACACAGTAGTTGAAAAGATATATGCAGAGAAGCTTTTCTGCCAATTCGGTGGAAGATAAATACCATCGGTGCATCAGTAGAACTATTCTGGGCAAGCAACTATCATTTAGCTCCCCACTGTCATCTGTTAAAAAAAAAAAAAAAGATAAAATAAATGGTAAGAAGATAGCAGTGCTACTCTTCTCTTTTTCATGTATCACTGGAGAAACAATAGTGTCAAACATTTCTCATAGACCCAAATAACTTTTACCTCCCACTTCTGCTTATATTCCCTAATACGGTGGATGGGTCTCAGCTGTCTTCTGGTTTACATTTGATAAGCTTAACAAATTAAAATATAGGACACTCCCTTAAATTTGAATTTGTTAAACAATGAATAAATTTTAAATATAAGTATATCCCAGACACTATTTAGGTCACAGTAAAAATGCTTGCTTATTTGAAATTCAAATTTGAGTGGTCAATGTGTATTTCATCTGGCAACTATGTTTTATTTTAACTCTGACTCAATAATCAATTCAACTAACACCTCCTATGTGACTCTATTTGTTCAAAGAATAATCCAAAATGATAAAATCACAATATAAAAAGCACATAGCTGGAAAGCCTGAAACTAATAGGCAAGGCCGGTACCACGGCTCACTAGGCTAATCCTGCACCTGCAGTGCCAGCACTCCGGGTTCTAGTCCAGGTTGGGGCACTGGATTCTGTCCCAGTTGCTCCTCATCCAGTCCAGCTCTTGCTGTGGCCTGGGAAGGCAGTGGAGGATGGCCCAAGTGCTTAGACCCCTGCACCCGCATGGGAGACCAGGAGGAAGCACCTGGCTCCTGGCTTTGGATCAGCACAGCGCCGGCCGTAGCGGCCATTTAGAGGGGGAACCAACGGAAGGAAGATCTTTCTCTCTGTCTCTCTCTCTCTCACTAACTCTGCCTGTCAAAAAAAAAGAAAAGAAAAACAACTAATAGGAGATATAAAAATGTGTACACATAAAGAATGCAGTAGATTATACAACCAATACTTGTCTAAGTAAAGGAAAAAAAAGTCACAATAGCATTAAAACCATGTGCTATAACAAGTTACAATGGGCCAGCACCGTGACTCACTTGGCTAATCCATCCCCTGCGGCGCCAGCACCCCGGGTTCTAGTCCTGGTCAGGGCGCTAGATACTAGTCCCAGTTGCTCCTCTTCCAGTCCAGCTCTCTGCTGTGTCCTGGGAGGGCAGCAAAGGATGGCCCAAGTGCTTGGGTCCCTACACACACATGGGAGACCAGGAGGAAGCACCCGGCACCTGGCTTTGGATCAGCACAGCGCCGGCTGTAGCGGCCATTTAGAGGGGGAACCAACGGAAGGAAGATCTTTCTCTCTGTCTGTCTCTCACTGTCTATAACTCTCTCTCTCTCTGTGTGTCTCTCTCTCACACTGTCTAACTCTGCTTGTCAAAAAAAATAAAATAAAATTTAAAAAAAGAAGTTACAATGGGCTACAGGAAGATGGAAGAAGGAAACAGTATACAGGAAATCAAGACTGATGTTACAAATATTTGAAATGACATCTGGGATAATCCCTGAAGCAGAATTTTATCTGCTTCATAGGTACAGCTTTAGGAGTATAACAGCTCTTCCCCCCATATCCACCCTCCCACTCCTACTCCCGTCCCACCTCCTACTCCCTCTGCTATCCCATTCTTCATTAAGATTCATTTTTAATTAACTTTATATACAGAAGACCAACTCTATACTAAGTAAAGATTTCCACAATTTGCACCCACACAGATACACAAAGTATAAAGTACTGTTTGAAGACTAGCTTTACCATTAATTCTCATAGCACAACTCATTAAGTACAGAGGTCCTACATGGGGAGCAAGTGCACAGTGATTCCTGTTGTGGATTTAACAATTGACACTCTTATTTATGATGTCAGTGATCACCCAAGGCTCCTGACACGAGCTGCCAAGGCTATGGAAGCCTTTCGAATGCACACTCTTTCAGTATTTAGACCATAGGACCATAAGCCAAGTAGAAATTCTCTCCTCCCTTCAGAGAAAGTACATCCTTCTTTGATAGCCCCTTCTTTCCACTGGGGTCTCACTGACAGAGATCCTTCATGTAGATCATTTTTTGCCACAGTATCTTGGCTTTCCATGCCTGAAATTCTCTCATGGGCTTTTCAGCCAGATCTGAATGCCTTAAGGGCTGATTCTAAGGTCAGAATAGAAGCAGAATTTTTTAAAAATATTTTATTTATTTATTTGAGAGGTAAAGTTACAGACAGTGGGAGAGAGGAGAGGAGAGGAGAGGAGAGGAGAGGAGAGGAGAGGAGAGGAGAGGAGAGGAGAGGAGAGGGGAGGGGAGGGGAGGGGAGGGGAGAAGAGAGGGGAGGGGAGGGGAGAAGAGAGGGGAGGGGAGGGGAGGGGAGGGGAGGGGAGAGGAGGGGAGGGGAGGGGAGGGGAGAGGAGAAGAGAAGAGAAGAGAAGAGAAGAGAAGAGAAGAGAAGAGAAGAGAAGAGAAGAGAAGAGGAGAGAGAGGTGTTCCTTCTGTTGGTCCACTCCCCAAATGGCCACAACGGCCAGAGCTGCGCTGATCCGAAGCAGCAGCCAGGTGCTTCTTCCTGGTCTCCCACGTGGGTGCAGGGGTCTAAGCACTTGGGCCATCTTCTACTGCTTTCCCAGGCCACAGCAGAGAGCTGGATTGGAAGAGGAGCAGCCAGGACTAGAACCAGCACCCATATGGGACGCCGGCGCCGCAGGCGGAGGATTAACCTACTGCACCACAACGCCAGCCCCAAAGCAGAATTTGAATAAGAGGATATAACAAAGGCATAGAGGTAGAAAGAGGTGCAGAAATGTTCCAGAAATATTAAGTGGACAATTTGGCTGAAATAAGAACTGAGGACAGTAAAGGGAAAGAAATACAGATGGCAGTGGGCAGGATGTTTGGCCAAGTGGTTGAACTGCTTACTCAGAGTTCCTGCATTTGAGTTCCAGCTCTACTTCCTAACCAGCTTCCTGCCCATGAGTCCCCTGGGGGCAACAGGTGATGGCTCAGACACTTGAGTCCCTGCCATCCTATGGAGATCCAGATTGAGTTTCAGGCTCCCGACTGGCCTGGCCCAGCCTCACCTGTTGCTAGCATTTGGAGAGTGAACAAATGAATAGAAGATTGATTTCTCTCTCTCTCTCTCAATTTCCCTCTCTCCCTAATCCCTGTTTCAAATAAGTATTTTTAAAAAATGAAAAGGGGAGTAAAAGTGGGGAGACAGATAGGAGTCAATACAAAATGCTTTAGCTACTAAGATAGATTAACCTCCAATGCACAAGCAACTTGCTTCTAAACAGAGCGAGGTGATATTATCAAGATACACAAGTGAATTAAAGGAAAAAAGATTCATACCAAACATCTCAATGCAAGCGCTCAGCAGTTCATCCAATGTCGCTGCTTTCCCAAGTCCACTTGACCCCATGATTATTTAGCCGTCGTCAAAAACCTAGAGACATTTTCAGCACGAGATAGACCATCTCCACAATCATGCACGTGTGTGTCTTTAATGCTGAGTTGTAGCCTTTGTTCTTAGC